ATTCTATGCCATTCTTATCATTTATTATTTGCGGCTAGCTAATTTTATTGATAATGCGGACAAACAGCCGCTCTGATTAGTTACCATACTGACCAAGCGCGAACATAATGATAAGCATCGGAAATGGAAAAGGCATCGTTCCGCGGTTGCACCCAGCAGCTGCATGAAGGAAATCATGAACGAAGCAAGTTGGAGCTACTGAGCTTCAACTTCGGATCGGCTGCGGCTCAAAAGCAAGCCAGTTGCAAAACAAAAGCAAGGCAGTCTCTTTGCCATCGCTATCGAGCAATGGTGGCGCCAATGCTTACTGAACAGCAGTGGTATAGCGGCGGTTTCTGGTGGTGCCAACGTGTGTTTTAGAGTTCTTTAACGCATTTTCAGGCTCTAAAAATGTATCTAAATATTAAAGATTGGGTTTACTGCATAGCAATAAGTATCTGAGCCTGGAATTGCGTCATAAAGTTTCGTTGAAGTGGGACAATAGAAGAAAAAACGTCTGTTGTGGCGACAATACTTATGCATTGACTCATATGAACTGCAGACGGGGAATCGTGAATTTTTCGTGCAAAAATTTCGTTGAAGCGGCGTTCGTTGTAGTGGAGTTAGACTGTATTATAAACTCGCGAAATGAAGTGCTCGTCGGATTAGTAGTCTAAATACTCTATTTGAAAGCATATATTTTATCAAGCTGAGCTAAACAAATGCTTTTTTTTATCCGAGAGTCTAGCGTTACCTCTAGACGTAACAATAGAAGCTGTTAAAGTTCCAGCATTGTTGAATAAAACAGGTCACTGACCAATGTCAAACAAAACAATGACGTATCGGGATCCGTACGGGTCCCGAAACGTTATTGTTTTGTTTGACATTGGTCAGTGACCTGTTTTATTCAACAATGCCTTTACCTGACCAGACGGCATTCTGTCGAACTCTCTACTACGTGAGCATCCGCCATAAAGTTACGGCCAGACGTAAAAATAAGACAAGTTAGAGTTGAGTCCAGCGTGACATCAATACAAAACCTGCTGGTTAAGCTCGCCGAAGCTGATCGGCAGCAGTGGCGTAGAAATAAAGATAGAAAAAAGGCAGCAGTAGCATAGTTGGCTAACGCAGCTCGTGCAGGGCTGTGAGGTCGTTGGTTCAAGCCCAACCAAATATTTTATTTAATTTTTTTGTGCAAGTATTTTTCTAAACAATGCAGCATTAATATTCCAAGGGCGCAGCTTATATATTTTTTTTCTTAAAGAAAATTGCCTTCATGGTCACGGCGGATGTGCAAAACCACGTTGTTACCGCGCTGTACATTTCTGCTGTAGCAAGTGCATCACAAAGCAAGATTGTCCCAGTGATGCACGAGCAAACAACTGAGACTGCCAATTGATTATCAAACTCATGTGCATATTGTGAACCACACGACGGACGTAACCTTGGGCAGCTAATCATCGTTATGGCTGGACGTAACTTTCACTTTTTGTTAAAGCTACGTCTATAGACGTAGTGGTAGAAGCCGCTAAAGTTACATCCAAACGTAAAAAAAGACATGTTAGAGTTACGTTCAGTGTGGCAACAATACAAAACCAGCTTGTTAAACCCACCAAGCCGATTGGAAGCAGTGGCGTAGTCTGCTAACGAGGTCGTTGGTTCAAGTCCTACCAGAAATATATTTTATCCATTACTTTTTTTGCACAAGTATTTTTTTAAACAGTGCAGCATTAACGTTCCAAGGGCATCACTTTGGTTCAAGCCCTACCAGAAATTTATTTTATTTATTACTTTTTTGTGCAATTATGTTTTTAAACAGTGTAGCATTAACGTTCCAAGGACGTTGCTTATATATATATATATATATGAGATCTAACAGACAATAATGCCAAGGAATCTATAGGGGAAGTTATTAGAACTAATGTATTGTAAATAAGAAGAAAGAAAAGTGGGTGAAAAGCTAACTTGCCTTGCGCAGAAATCTAACCTATGATCTTCGAATAACGCGTTCGACACTCTACCACTGAGCTATCACGGTGGCTATTCCCCCAGCCACTTTATTAGATTAATCATCATCATCAGGCTGACTATGTCCACTGCAGGACAAAGGCCTCTCCCATGTTCCGCCAGTTAACCTGGTCCTGTGCTTGCTGCTGCCAATTTATACCCGCAAACTTCTTAATCTCATCTGCCCATCTAACTTTCTGTCTCCCCCTAACCCACTTGCCTTCTCTGGGAATTCAGTCAGTTACCCTTAATGACCAGCGGTTATCCTGTCTACGCGCTACATGCCCGGCCCATGTCCATTTCTTCTTCTTGATTTCAGCTATGATATCCTTAACCCCCGTTTGTTCTCTAATCCACTCTGCTCTCTTCTTGTCTCTTAAGGTTACAACTACCATTTTTCTTTCCTTTGCTCGCTGCGTTGTCCTCAATTTAAGCTGAACTCTCTAAATAAAAAAAAAAAAAGTGTGTCAAAACACGGAGAAACGAGCCCTTAGGTATACACCTCTTTCCCTTATTAATTAACGAGGGTCTCGTACTGGCACACTTGGTGCCGTTAGGTTGTATACGAGGGACTATTAATCAGCTGCCAGCTCGTAATAAGTTCACGTGCTACGTTACGCCATACAAGCTCATAAAAAGTGTTCCACACTCGCCGCCATGGCTACAGACGGCGCTGATTGACACTCCCACGTTTAAATTCACATATAAACTTAATAAAGTGGATGGGGGGATAGCCGCCGTGATAGTTCAGTGGTATAGCATCGAACGCGTTATTCGAAGGTCGTAGGTTCGATTGCTGCTCATGGCAAGCTAGTTTTTCACCCACTTTTCTTTCTTCTTATTTACAATACATTGGTTCTAATAACTTACCCTATACATTCTTTGGCATTATTGTCTGTTAGATCTCATTAATATTGTGTCAAAACATGGAAAAACGAGCCCTTAGGTATACACTTTTTCTCATATATATATGTATATGTATAAAATAAAATAGTTTTCGTGGCTGCGGCAGATGCACAAAACCGCATTGCTACAGCGCCGTACAATTCTGCTGTAGCAAAATAGTGAGTGTTAGCAACGAAAGCGCACCGCGATATTATCCCAGCATGGACGCTGTTGGGAGCTTTTTTTGTAGAGTCTGTGTAATAACTCTATGAGTTGTAGAGTTTTCCACAGAAAACTCTATGGCCTCAGTGACAATTTGTTTTGCGTTCTGAGGTGATTTTTTCATGTTTTCACTGTTACACCACTAAAAATATATATGTAACGAGTCAGATGGATGTCTTTTTGTCGCTCAACAATAACCGTAATCTATACTAATCTATATTTCATGTGTACGTGTCGTCCATCCTCTGTCTGATGCGATGCGATCGGGCTGTGGTCAATACAGGCTTGAAACAGGCTATCAGTGCTGAATATCAGTACAAAATAAATGAAATGTTCTGAAATAATGCAAAATATGTGATCAACCAAGAATTTTTCATGATAATGTATTTAAAATCACGATAAGTTCTTCCAAGATTGCTGTCGCCTGTAGCCTAATATCACAGCTACAGGCTGCTACAAGTGGCAATGCGCTGCAAGAAGGCTGTGCGGGCCAACGTTTAGAGACACTTCCACAGAACGCCTTTATAGATTCTACATTGGTGCGGCCTGCATCATTAAAACTAGGCAGATGAGGTTTTTGGACGACGAGATATTTACATGTCGCGACGCGGGACAAGTAACTACTGTTACCGTATGGGTGTAACCCTAGTGAAGGTTTTATACATCAGCACGGGCACGCTAATCGTACTTGCATCCAGTTGGAGAGCTGCTGTTTACCACTAACCCCAGTGCAGGCAGGGTTCCATCATAATTGCTCCGCTTGTTGACCGCTTCAAGGAAGCTAACGAAAAGGCAGCACCTGATACAGTAGACTGGTACCGGCAACGTCTTCCGAAAGTTCGTCAGCTGGTCTGTCTCAACAGAGCTGCTGATAGGCGAAAAAGTCCGGCACAATAAATGACGCAGATTTCAACACACAAGCGATTCCGGTAAATTGGTGAATCTGAGCTTATGACCGCTTAATACGACGAGCGGCAGTGCCAAACGTTACCATAGCAGATGCAAATGTCACTGTAGAATCGTAGACGTAACACAAACAGTGGCTATAGTTATGTCTGGACGTAGCGCTACTATTGGCTATAGTTATGGCTGGACGTAACAATAGCGCTGGCTATAGTTACGTCTGGACGTAACAATAGTGCTGGCTATAGTTACACCTGGACGTAACGATTGTGGTGGCTATAGTTATGTCTGGATGTAACGATTGCGGTGCTTAGTTACGTCTGGACAAAACCCTAGCCACACCGTTTTCTTATTCCTTTTCTCCCCATTTATAAGTATACATCATTTAGCATTTTCAAGCAACATATATGTGCGTACCTGGCATGTTAGCATTTGGTTTTTGAGGGCAGGTGTGATAAGACGAACTCCTGATAAGACGAACAAATGATCATGGTTCCTTCGAATTCATATTAAAGGAAGTCTTCTGTGTTTGTTATAATAAGCGATGTTATGGGGAAGGTGATTCTAGCTGGCACAAGTTTAGGGTATGAATGGGTCATGGGAACGTTTTGTGTGACAAAATGAAATTACAAATTAATCGATCTGATATGCTAGATGGTCTTCCTAGTAATTTTTTCTTTAGATAGCTATCATAGTGAATTTCATAAAAATCACATAATGAAGCTACAGGCCTGCGATGAGAGAGAAGAGGAAGGGACATTATCTAAATGGTAGTTGCACTACTTGTACGGCAATAGCTGGGAGTGGAACGACTGGCACAGTTATGCACCGCTTCGAAATGGAAATGACTGAATGAATGCCAGAGCTTTAGAGAGATGCGGAATATTCTGATTCTCAGGGTTTTTAAAAAGCAGCAATAATAATGACCTAGTGAATCGGAGAAAAAAATCTGCCGAGGGAAATAGCTTGACTTTCCCTGTCCTGCTTTTTCTCCTTCACTTCAGAACTGCCAACACAATACACAGGGTGAATATTGTGAAGAATGCCTGCCTGGATTTATTGGTGATGCTACTGGAGGCACTCCAAGTGACTGCGAGGCTGTTCTAGGTAAGTTCTCTCACTGCACTGAACATGGATATCGACCTTTGATGAAATAAGTGTATGTTATGAAAACAAAAAGCATCCTTCACAGTTTCTTGGTGTTAATATAGGTTGATAAATATCGTAAAAAGCACATGCTACGAGATGCTTCGGAAAGACTTTTAGGGTAGGTGCAACTTAAATACTGTTTAAATTTACATTAAAATCCATTAATCAAAGTATGTGGACAGGATTGGCAGCAGCTACACTGAAGTCATAACACGCATGTCAAAGTAGTGTGGTAGAACCCACTTCAATGGAAGTAAAGAATAGAAATGAAATTTTTCTATTTACTGAAATTTTTTTTTCAGATTGACCCTGAGTTCTGATACAGTAGTACTTGTTAACTTGATTAAAAAGCATCTAGTCGGTTTAATATTACTTCATTGAACAAACCTGCAGTATTGCACTCTGCTACGAATATAATGCTCAAGCACATACGAACGTGGCTTGTTGTATATGCAACCTATGCTACCTTCCTTTTCATAACATAGGAATCTAGGAAGAAAGTTGTCACTGCATGAATACTTGAACTACAGGTGCCTTTCTATACATTTTTGTTCAGATGTACTAGGTGCATGCATCTGGTTCTAAAAAAAGGTGCCATTCTGGGCAGCGTGTTTCTTCTCTTCACAGTACGTTATTTGTGGTGATCAACACTTGCAGATAATGAAGCTCTTCCATGTCTTGTGGCTGTCATGGCATAGAAATTCTCTGTGCTCCTGCACAGAAGACAAGCACTGTGAGTGCACTATGGCAACTGCAGCTCCGCAACTACCTGACGGATCTTTCTTTACTGTTTAGAATCAGTTGTAGTTTTTGAACGGTCACTATTTTTCGTGTGGTATGATGCTTTTGAAGACTGTGGTAGTTGTATTTTGGGATTTGATTGTTAAAAGAGTACTGTGACAACAAAAATATAGCATCCTGCCTTCTGTTGGCATCACGTAGATATTGACCCACTTGTCATGGCTGGAAATGTTGTTTGTTTGAGCATGCATTGGTTCATTATTTGGAGATGTTTGTGTAACTCCCAGTCATAATTCGGGCTCAAGAGAACATCGAGAGACCTGGCTGGGGTGTTCTGGTAGACACGTGTGAAGACACGATACTGTGATGCAATAGCCATGTGGCACAACATACACATTAGAATCATGTGAACTATGAGAGAGAGCACAAGTGGGTAGCATATGCCAGCTAATTATGATTCCAGACATAGTTCTGGTTCTTGTGCACTCAAAACAAGTTGATGTCGCCATCACGAGTTGCTCAGTTTTGCGTTTAGTTGTGTGGTGCATACTTTACTATTGAGTTTTAATATGTTCTAGGTTGTGTTTGCCATTGTTATTTTCTAGAGGACACTGTGTGCCTACACAAATAAACCTCACAAGTTATGTTCCTTTAAACCGAAGCCCATAAAAAATCTTTGTTCAAACCAAGTTTGTTACCTTTGCACCTATGGATGACTGAATCAAATTGGCATCCCTGTTCTTCTTATGTGACATTTTTCTTTGGGTGAGCTTTTTTTTTTGCACGAATTCTAGTGTGTTTGATACAAGAAACATGCACATTGCACCAGAATAACAAGCATCACATGTCATCCTATCTCTGGAACTGCCACTACAAGTGATGGAAGTTGTTAACCTTATGTTGCTGATGTTTGGACTGCCTTATAATACCACATTGTCCTTATTTCTATTTCTGCGCACTAAATTTAGGAAGAGTTTGTTCCTGATAGTCTGTATTTTTTGTGTCATTAGTTTCTTATTTTACTTGTGTTGTCTGCAGTAAGTCCTCCTTTTTTTAATTATCTTGTTTTGGAGTCATTCAATTATCAGTAGCTACATTTAGCCTGTCAGTAACACACCGCACCAGTGCTACGCATTGTAATAACAGCTGCTTGTTTTTTTTGTATTTCAGTGCCTTCATGTAGATGTGACAACCGTGGTAGTACAAGGCAAGAATGTGATGCCAGGGACAACTGCCCTTGTAAGGTAAACTGCGGTAGTACATGTACTGCTTTTCAGCTAACATTACTGCCTCAATTGTGGGTTATAGAGATGGTAATCGCCACCACGCTCTTGGAGTGAACGGACACAGTAGACACGGTCAGAACAAATGAAACAACACGTATGTTTATTTAACTACTTTTTGAACGACGATATCATCAGCCGAATTATAACATTCATCATGATCAACACGCTAGGACATCCTTACACAATAGTAAACAACACTCAACAACATGATAAAGAAGGCGGTGTCGCTTATGCCTGACTCGCCACGTGGGCCCACATCAGACAGACCACTGTGCCGTTCACGGCAGACCCACCACCGGAGACAACAGTCCGCACCACCGCCCCACGCCAAAAGAGACTCGCTCAACTCTCTCGCCCACCACCAAGGCTTGCCTTTCGCCATGGGTCACCGCCGGCGCTACCGCTCTATCGACCATGATGATGATACTTGTGATCGCCGCTCGTGAACACAACGCCACCTATCGCTCAATAGTTGTCACCCCCAAAGTACAACTTCTGTAGAAGACACTTGCGCCACGAAAAACTTTACAGCGGGTGTCAGCACCCCCACACAATTGACTATTACAGCTTGATACATTTAGCCTAGTGCACGCCAGCAAAATAATACATGATTACAATTCATGAACATCAAAATGTGCATTAGCACTAAGCAACAGCCGAAGTAAGTGCTTGTATGCTATGAATAAAGCGGTTATTATGAGCATCTCTATATTTATAACGCTAAGAAAAATGAAAAGTTGCACACTGTCTAACAATTTATTCTTGAATACTAAAGACGGTGACAAGGAATGTAAAATATCTGTTGAATGTATGATCTACACTTGACATGTGGCTCATGTAAAAGTCAAGCTCTGGCTTTTGCCTCACTCAGCTGCTCCAGAACTCATCTCTAACTCATAACTGAAATGAATGGCAACTATGAAGTATTTAGGTGAAAAGGCAGAAAGAACAGCATACATTCAACTACATTCGTTCTTCTAAAAAAAAAAGATGGTTTACACTCAGGTGATCTAGTGGAGAATGATCAAAGGAAAAAGATCTATTGTAGTGTCATGCACATCCTAAATTATTAGAAGGGTGTTGTGTCTGGTTTGGCTGGCTGGGACGCCGAGAGAAGAACGTGGAATGAAGAGCTGCAGCGCTGAGAGAAGAAACGCATCCGTCTCGCACAAGGGCTTCGTCACCAACTAATTTATTTACACATATATACATGTACAACATAACACTACCGCACAAGGCGCCACATGACATTGATACAAACCGAAACTGAAAATGAAACTAAACAAATTACAGCACAGCACAACAACATCCCCTTCTTTAAAAAGTCGCTCATAAGAAAATACAATAGAACAGTATACACAGAACATAGAAGAACAAGCACTTAGGACGAGAACACCCAGTACACTTTATACAAGAGCAAGAGACCAAAAGCCTCCACATCAATCTAGACCACAGTCCGCAAATCGGCGTGGTCTAGTCCACTTCCTAAGAAAGCGGCGTTTTGAGACCGGCTTGGCGATTGCGTTGCACGGTCAAGAGGTGGAGAAGGCACTGGGCTGGGCTTTGCACTTTCGGTCACGGCCTCACTACAATTACATGAAGTAGCATCAAGACTTTTCAGAGCAATTTTCGGTTCGATAGATTCTGACGGTGCAGGCTCAATGTGAACGGTGTCACCTGGAAGGTTCTCCTTCCTTGAGAAGGAAGTATCTGAGCAGGGAGGCCACATACATTAATATTATGGTGAGTATTGCGAAGTAAGAGAGATATAGGCAGAAGTTTGGAGCATTGAAGCCAAATCCGCATGAGAAACAATATAAGAGGAGCTCCATATGTTGCCATCGCTCAACTGTAAGGAAGTTGGGCTAATCTGTTTCAAGATTTCATACCTGCTTTGATATTTGGGATGCTTGTCTGGGACACGAACTTTGACTGTGTCGCAAACTCGAACTTTCTGGGGCTTAGCACCACGACGATTGTCGACATACAGTCAAACCTGCTTATAACGAACCTCCATATAATGAATTCCTCGATATAACAAATTTTTTCGATTCCCCGCCGTCGCTCCATAGAAGCACATGTATTTGTGACCTCAGTGTAACAAAGTAACAGCGGGAGACAACCTTGATATAACGAATTTTAGCAGCTAGTGAAATAGCCGCGAGCACATCATGAGAGTGGCATGAAGTCATGTTGTTACATGACACGCGTGTCGTGATTATCATGTTTCGATGTGTCATTTACCTATGTCGTCCGTTTGCATAGCATAGTTTCGAGTTTGGTACATGTGAAGCTAGCGAAACATCCGCGAGCGCATCATGAGCGTAGCATGCAGTCATGTTGTAACATGACACGCATGTCATGTTTATCATGTTTGCACCAGTATTATACCCTTGTCATCCATTCACGCACGTAATACCAAATTTGGTATAAGATTGATTGATTGATTTGTAGGGTTTAACGTCCCAAAACCACCATATGATTATGAGAGACGCTGTAGTGGAGGGCTCTGGAAATTTCGACCACCTGGAGTTCTTTAAGGTTCGCCCAAATCTGAGCACACGGGCCTACATTTCCGCCTCCATCGGAAATGCAGCCGCCACAGCCAGGATTTGATCCTACTACCTGCGGGTCAGCAGCCGAGTACCTTAGCCACTAGACCACCGCGGCGGGGCAAATTTGGTACAAGTGAAGCTGGCGAAACGGTCGCCAGCGCATCATGAGCATGGTATGTAGTGTTGTTACATGGCACTCATCTCATGATTATCATGTTTGCACCAGTCACATGCCTTCGTCATCCATTCACATACCGTAATACCAATTTTGGTATATGTGAGGCTAGTGAAATGGTCGCGAGCGCATCATGAGCGTGGCATGTAGTCATGTTGTTACATGACACGCATGTCACGATTTTCATGTTAGGGTCTGTTGCTTGTGTTCACTATGCAATCATGTCATACCATACCAGTTTTGCAACATGCCATGTGAACGAAACCACCGCAAGAGCTGCAGGACAATGGAATGTAAATCATGACATTCATGACATAAATGTCATGATTTCCATGTTATGACTAGTCAAATATGTTTTTCATGCAGTCATCTCATGCCATACCAAGTTTGGAATCGATACTATTATTGAAACGGCCAGAAGAGCTAAAGGTGGTAGGCGGCTAGATAGATAGATACACTCAAAGTCACCGAAGTTGGCTAGGAAATGCTTCGCAATTAAAATCACTTTTGGAAGGCCATTCTTCGTGTACATATGTAAAAGCTTGAGGTAATGTCAGATCAGCAGCAGTGGCAGCCTGAAGCTTAGCTTTAATAATACAAGAAATAACCAAGGAAACAATTTTTTCATCACGCTCTTATGTAACAGGTAGCTGAAGAGGGAGACGTGACAAGGCATCTGCAATGACATTATTGCACCATTACAACAATACTGCACCCTGAACTTGTAATACATGAGTCTAGAACACCACCTAGAAGTGTGAAGGGGGCGGCAGCCTTCGAAGCCTGCAGAAAGAAGTGCGACAAGAGCTTGATGATCTGTGCGCAAAGTGAAGTGGCAACCCCACAAATAAACATGCCATTTCTCACAAGCAAAAAGGCATGCGAGAGCTTCACGCTCTCCAGTGGACTACCTGCGCTCTGCAGGGGACAACGTGAACACAGCAAATGCAATGGTGATCAGCTGATCTCCTAACTGTTGTTGAAACACTGCTCCTAGTCCAAAATCGGATGCATCCGTTGTGATGATGATGGGCAACTTCTCATTAAAAATACTGACAACTGACTTCGAGGTCAGGATTGACTTAATTCTAATGAAGCTCTGTTCAGCTTCTGCTGACCATGCAAAAGGTTGTCCCTCCTGAAGTAGGAAGCGCAATAGTTCAACCACATCTGCATAATGTGACACGAACTTTGCGAAGTAACCAACAAGACCAAGAAATGACTGCAACGCTTTGCATTAGTAGAACATGGTGCATTCTCAATGGCCTGAACTTTTGACTCAACAGGTGTTAAGCTGTTGGAACTGATCTTGTGGTCCAAAAATTGCAATTCACTCACACCAAAAATACACTTGTTATTAAGTTTCATGTCGCATTCGCTGATACGGGAAAGAACTGCATGCAAGTTTGCATCATGCTTTTTGCGGTTTCGACCCCATACCAATATGTCGTCCAAGTATCACAGTGTACCTTCGCAACTTTCAAGTATTAGAGACATCATTTTCTGAAACACAGCAGGGGCAAACACGAGCCCAAAGCACACGCGACGAAAACAAAACACCCCATCACGCTAAACAAATAAGGTCAAGTCTCTACTGCACTCAGAAAGTTCAACTTGATGATACGCGGACACAAGGTTCAACTTAGAAAAGCACATCATCAAACAGCTGTTGAAGAAGCTCTTCAATGTGTGAAAGCGGGAATCCGTCGACGACAATTGCCTTGTTTGGGTAATGTAAGTCTACACACAAGGTGCAGAGAACGATCTTTTTTCTTTACAACGACGAGTGGAGACGCCCAGTCGGAAGCAGAGACAGGCTCGATGATTCCACTGGCTTGAAGACCGGACAGTTCTGCAGAAACTTGCTCACGGAGCAACAAGTGAAAGGTGTCGAAGCTTGGCAGGAACTGGACACACATCAGGTTGATGCATCACTTGATGCACAAACCGGCGCACACCAACTAGTACACTGGTGAACAGTTGACGAAATTTAAAAGGCGCGTTGGCCGTAAGATCTGGTTGCACGTCGACTTGGGCACTAGTCATGGAAGCACCAAGAATGTTTATAGATAATGCGCTGACAGCATCACGACCCAGAAGGGAGCTGTTGTTTACAGTGACGTAGAAAGTGACAGATGCAGTACGACTGCAATACCAGACTTGTGCTGTGAAAGATCCCAAATTTTCAATTGTTTCTTTGAAATACGTCTACAGAATGATGTGTGAAGGAGAGAGTCTAATGCTTGGAAAATGTTCATGAAAGTCAGCGACGCCAATTAAAGAGACGGATGCACCAGTGTCCACGAGAAAAGTCGGGGGAACATTGCCCACTGTTGCGACAACGGTAGGCTGAGACGTTGTGTGGCGACCAGCCACATTTAAAATGGTGACCATGTTTGTTTGGCCGTTGCACGCAGTATGCAAAATGACTGCATCTTGACGTAAGGTCGAATTTCATGTGGCTTAAAAATTTCCCTGTTTACCGCACACAAGACAAGTTCGGTTCCGAGCCATCTGAAACTGAGGAAAATTTGCTAAGTGGCGAACTTATCCACAACGGAAGCAAAAGGCAGGCGGCAACTGTACAGATGACTGTTTGAAAAAGCTCTGAGCTTACTGCTGGCCTCCTTGAAAAGGCAAGGTCAAAGGCGCAGAAGCGTCTTTTTGGTGGCCTTCTCGCCCCCTCAAGGAAGAAAAAGAGCCGGCATGTTGGTGTTACCTGCGAAACGAATGGGCACCATGAGGCCCTGCAACGGAAAGTTGCTGCACCGAACGCGGAGCGAACTGCTCTAACTGCACAGGTACAAGTTCACGCTCTCGTGCAATCGAGAGGGCTTCAGAAAGAGTGATGAATGAGCCTTTTTGAAGGAGCTGGCAATGGACATTGTCAGATGCGACGCTAAGAAAGAGTTGCTGCCTGATGATGTCGTTTTCAACCGCTCCGAACCCGCAGGACGCGGCGAGCGACTGGAGACTAGCTATGAAGTCTACAACGGGCTCACTGGGGAGCTGACGATGCTCTTGAAAGCGGAGGCACGCCACATAATCGCAGGATGCATCTTTGAAATGGTCCTCGAACAATGCGACTGCAGCTTGAAATACATCATACAACGCAGGTGTCTCTGGCGCTTTGATGGAACCCAGTCTGATAGTTTCAGGCTGGCGTGGCCCAACCTATTAAGCAGTAAAGCCTTCCGCTGCTCTGCCTTGCGAGCATCTTCCCTGACAGCATCCACGTATGCCTCAAAAATTAACTTTCAATCAGCCCTAGAGACCGGTGGGTCCGGAGCATGGAGAGAAAAGCGGTGGAGGTATCAGAAACATCATCGCAACCAGAAAAACTCTAAACCAATGAAAAAAGAAACCGAACATGAAAAAGAAAGGTCAACATGGAAAGAGGAAAAAGTCCACGGAGTTGAAGGCAGGAATGAATAATGAGATGCAGCCACTCACCGAGGAAAAGGCAGAAGAGGCGCAACGCGGCGATCGTTACAGAGAACAAAGACAAAAGCACGAAACCTCGAAGTAGCGTCGCAGCCAAACAGAATTGCGAAGGGGGACCGGAAGAAAAGAGACTACGGAAGAAACTGTCCGTACTTCATCTCGTTGCTATTGTTGTGTCGGGGTTGGCTGGCCGGGACGCCGAAAGAGCATAGAACCAAGAGCTGCAGCATGCTGATGCTGCCGGTGGCAGACACCCACGACTTCAGTGAGGAGCGCCGAGAAAAGAAACAGGTCCGTCTCGCACAAGGGCTTCATCACTAATTTATTTACACATACATACATATACTAGTACATAACACTGCCTAAGAGGTGCCACTTGACACTGAAACAAACTGAAACTGAAAACGAAACTAAACGAAACAGCACGACACAACAAAAAGGTTAGATAATTTGTCTGTGAATGTAGTTGAGAGAAAACCTGGTTTAGAAGACGGGAGTAGTGAATATTAGAGAATGATTTGTAGCAATAATGACATGCAACAAAAGAGACCATTGCTTCTTGAGGCTTGCTCTTTTGTATGTTTTCACATTCGATGAGATCAATCGACTTCTTGTCAAGAAACATATACTGTAGGTGCAAGTGAACTTCTTGTGAGCTTGATTTACCGTACCTGAAGTATGCACTATTGTGGTATAAAGTGGACAAATGGAAGCATATAATGCGACCTACCCTACCATCCACAATTTTTGACATCGGTTGCTACATACAGTTGCTCATAATTACAGCACACGTGCTCCCCAGAAACAGCATTGAAACAAAATATTTGGGTGTGGTAAGTTTAGCGTGTCTAAAGTAAAATCATCATTCTGATAATAAATCTGCTTCATTAAAGCATATCTTTTGTTTCAGAACAATGTGCAAGGAAAGAATTGCAACCGTTGCAAGGAAGGATATTTCAACTTGGAAGCATCCAACCCCGAAGGCTGCTCTCGTTGCTTCTGTTTTGGGGTCACTGAGCAGTGCAGCAGCAGCTCTTATTACCGAAGTGAGGTGAGTGGATGGAGGTGAAGGCCTTTCTTTTGCTGCACCTGAGGCATGCCTGTGATTTTAAGCAATTTTGAAATGTGTCAGATGTTACAAAACAATACAGTGCTCACATACAACAGTTCATTGTTAATAATAGGAAAGAAGCAAGTATTTACCTCACTGATATGCACATGCTAATAATCATCGAATAAAAATGCCGGGCCTCTGCGGAATGCACAGTGCAGTCACAGCAAAAGCTAGAAGAGCGGCCTTTCAAAACCTTTTCTAACCACTCTTTGGATAACTACTACAAGCACACTGCTGGATACCCACTACACAATAAGTAATCATAATTTTTGTGCAGTAGGCCAGCATTCACTGTGTAGCGTGGTATTCACTACACACTTGTTAAGAATTATGTGCAATTTTTTTATGCAGTGGCTGACGACAATGAAAAAACATGCCTGAAGTGGGTATGCGCCACAGTTAATAGGTGATCAAGAACAAGTTTTCTAATGAGTTGAAGCATTAGATGACCCACTCATTATGCATTCGAATTGTGTGACATCTGGCTGTTCTCTTGATGTTCTAAACACTTTATTATATTAATGCAATTCCTTTACCGACATCAAGCCTAAGGCCTGTTTAGAAACAAGTTTCAAGCACTGGCGTAGCTCAATGGTAGATTACTGGGCAGGCACGCAGCGGACCCGAGTGTCATTGGTGGTTTTTAGTTACTGAGTTTTTTTCGTTTGACACTGGTTACGTACCCCGGTGGCGGCAGACAACTACGGCAGCGCGCGTGACCTGTGTTCTGATCTCATAACAGCTTTCACTGTAAAAGAAAAAAAAATTCTAATAACAAATTGTATGCTGTAATGAAGAGACTGATATTCGTAAGCTGCTTATTTTATCTAACACCAGTACAACATATTCTACAACCTATGTGGGTGCTAGCAATAATGCTAGAATATCCGATGGCCCATGTATAAATGCCAACACTGCTGCTATCACTGCCAGTGTGTATCACTGTAATCTGGCTTTCTGTCATCGGCTGCAAGTTAGACCAAATAGAAAGTTTCATCTTGGACCTACTGTCTGCTCCTTTTGCTCTCGTCATGACCCCATGACAATATGACGTGACACAAGTTGGTCACCACGCCAAGGTAACAGTACTAGCTAAAAGATGCGAACACATAGTCTGCACACTGAACAGCTATGGGGCAGATATTCAGCATGGGTACATTTTAGGCGTGGAGCAGCTCTTCGACTAGCCTGTGTAACGTTGTTTCTCTGAACCACGGCGATGCCAAGTAGGCCACACTTTCCTTCGCAGTGTGTGCACGTAACGTCACTCTCTATCTCTAGCCTGTCGCCACTCGCCGCGTGTCATCTTTCTCGCTTCACCCTCTTCACCACTCGCAATGCTCGAGCCCTCTCCTCACCCATGCCACCTTTCTCCATCTGTCAGCGAGAAACCACAGGTAGGGGTGCTCGCGCGCCGTCATCGAGCTCGGCCTTGGTTCCGCGGCGCCAGCACTGTGGACAGCTTGCCGCTGCTTGCCGCGCAATCACTCCAATAGGTGGGACGCTGCCGAGGCTTGCTTCCCACCAGTGTGCACGAACTTTTTCGGCCGTCGCCGACGTTACCGGTTAGCGAAGCTGATCGCATTCGCGAATGGGGATGTCACGTCTGGAACACCAAGGAGGCGCGAGCCAAAAAAGTCGTACACAAGCGTCAGCAGTGGTAGACCAATGACACCGATAAAGTGCAAGTCAAGAGTGCTGATCGTGTTCGAGAATAGAGGCGGTGCGTGAGTAACACCGACGCTACTACGTGTTTCGCTTCAAACTGTTCTTCCAGCAACCGCGTCGATGCCCGTTTAAACTAGGTCAACGCCGTGCGCATCGCTGCTGCTTCACATCCCATCAGGGTTTCCTTCGGAAAGACGGTCTATAGTTTTTTATACAATCAGAACTATGTGAAATTTTGTAATGGTGATTAGTACAGTCACATGTTAACAGTGTACATGTTTAAAATTTATACGTGATTTAGATATCCTTTTTCCCAAGATAAACATGCTGTTGATAGAGGACTGGTGCACGAGCTGTAAAACCTCTTGACAACCTCTGCTGCACTGGTATCACTCATTAGCTCTGAACTGGGCTTAGCTAGGGCCTTGCTTTTTTCGAAGTAGGGCATGCAGCTCACTCGGTCGTATGGAGGTTGCATGTTTAGTTCCCGCCTGAGGGAAGTTGTCTTTACGTCCTTCTTTCACGTCTATAAGTACCACATTTATTACAATACACCTAAAGCAGTGCAATTAATGTTCCCTATACTGTCCTTGGCATCATTATTTGCTAGTTTTTATTAAGTCTTTTTTTGTTGCCATTTATCTTGTGCTGTATTATATGTTTCGTAATGGATTACCAACACACACAAGCTTCCACACTTGAGCATACAAAGTTTGTTACACTAGAAGATGCTGATTTGTTGTGCTGTGTGTAGAACACAACTGCACAGTATGGGTTACTACCCACTGCCTAGAGTAACACTTGTATTGGCCACCCTTTCCTTCTGTTATGTTTGTGACCAGTCTACGAAAGAAGGATGCTGAAGTTATCTCTTTACAGGTCAGGATGCTCTTGCAAGATTTGCGGGACCCATATGCCCACAATTTCCAGCTGTCCAATCGATACCATTCCAACATTATCACTGATACCATTGTGGTCAACCCATCAAACAACGAAGTCAGCTATTCATCGTTTCCACGTGACCCTGCTGAGAAAGAGACCTTGTTTTGGTCTCTTCCAGCACAATTTTTGGGCAACAAGGTAACCGGTGTTCTCTCATGGGGTAGTTGCCACCATCCTGAGGTGTTTTATTCTCATACACATGTACTTTTTTGTTGCTTTTCAGCTTGCGTCTTATGGAGGAGGGCTTCGCTATACTCAGCGTTTCACAGCAGACAGTGATGGAGAAACCTACAGTGATGCTGATGTTCAGATTACTGTAAGCTATTTTTGTTTGCATGCTAAGCTGCATTGCACAAAATACACCACTGCTTGTACTCACAGAATAATGTTCACATTTCAGGGAAATGGCGTCACCATTTTCTACGTAAACATTCCTCCTCTCCCACCTTCTGAGATGAGAACCTTTGAAATACTATTACGAGAGGTGAGCATGTTTTATTCATGAATATGCTATGGTTTCTACCATGTCCTTTCAAAATATGTGTATCTTTTCACTTTTGGATGCTCAAACAGTTCAGTGCAAGAGCCTTGCTTGTGTATGTTTTGTCATGCCAAATGTGTAAATAAACCCTAAAAATCAAATTTATAACCACTGAATACAATAGACATTTATAGGAATTTAATGAGGAAATTTCCCTTCAATATAGCCACATGTCCATCCCACATAAATTCTCTATGAAGTTATTTAACATAGTATTAAAACTGCTGCGGCGTTGCACCACTGGGGATTCGCTGCTATAGTGGCCACACTTTGATGGGAGTTCAGTGCAAGAGCACTCATGTACTTGCATTTCGCTGCAATTTGCAGATCTACAGGGGTTAAAATTAATGCTATAATGACATGCCTTGTAATTATATTATTGTTCTTGCGCATAAAGCCAGAGCAATGAATTAATTGCATAGCTGAGCTCATAGTCTCATTGCTGTCCAAAGTCAATGCCTGTTGTGACATTTGCATTGCAATAAGTACCACAATTGAACAAGCTCGTGTTATTGATTTTAGTGGATAGTAAAGAACCCTAGGTGAATAAAATTAGTGTTCCCTGCATGGCATGCCTCTTATCTCTTTCATTACCATGAAAAAAAAAGGTTATTATTTATGCTTCAGAAAGACAAGTATTTCCCGTTTGAAAAGTATTCCAGCACACATTGTGGTGTGCCAAATTAAATATAATGAAATGCTCTTTTCAAAAATATAAGTTATACAGCCGCAAAAGTCTTTTGGAATGCATAAAAGTGTGAAAAGTGTGCAATTTTTGGTTGCCAGCTGATCAACAGAGCAATAAAGAAAACCATTGTATATGCAAATAAATTCAAAACAAAGAAAATTCAAAATATTAGTTTTAAAGATAAAAGACCGAGGATTTTCCCAGCAGCGCACACACATTGGTTCATGCTAATGTCTGCCAAAAGTCACTATGGAGCTGAAATGAAAAAACTTGAAAAGAATTCTGGAAGTTCAGTGATTGTTATAACTGCTAAGAACAGCTATGTGCATGAGAAACAGATTCAACGTGCAAAAACAAACTTTTCAAAGCATCCATCACCAGTGATCGATTTGAGTAGTTGTGGTAACAAAGTAGTTGACTTAATCATGGTTTTGGCCTATACAAATGCATAATTCAAGCTTTGTGTTTTTATGTTCATATAACCTCTGACCAAAACAAAGAAACACAGCATATGTCACTGGTGAAAGTGGTTTATAACAAACTGAACAAACATCTGAACACTGTGCGAGCATTGGGATGGCAATAGCATGGTTCAACAATCTTGTGACCACTCATTAATGTATTCAGCTGGTCCAGTTAGTACTTGCCTAGTTCATCCATTATGCTTGGGAACAGACATTATAGACTACACGGAAACTACACGGAACAAACTGCATTTGTCCTGTGTGTTTTGGTGTCGTAGTACTCTGTAATGTGTGTTCGCCAGAATGATAGATGCATTTAAGTTTGGGAGCTCAGTGTCCATGACATTTTTTTTTTCAATTGCTGCCTTTGAATGTTTTCTACATGAGCACGCTTAGGCATTGCCAACAAATTCACTTGTACAGGACAAATGGCAGCGAGTAGACTCTCGTGGCCCGACGGTGGCCACCCGTGAGGACATAATGAAGGTGCTGGCCAATGTGGAGGTTCTGCTGATTCGGGCATCCTTCAGCTCGCGAATGCGCAGCTCTAGCCTAAGTGATGTCTCACTCTCAACAGCCGTTCCTCTGCGGTCTGCAGGCCATGCTGTGGCTGTAGAAGTGGAGCAGTGCATCTGCCCTCCTGGATACAATGGTCTCTCTTGTGAGGTGAGACCATCTGTTGCCATAGAAAGAATGGTGCTCGACTGCTGACCCAAAGGTTATGTGATCAAAACCCAGCTGCGGGGGCCGCATTTCGAGGGAGGCAAAATGCTAGAAGCCTGTTTGCTCATATTTAGATGACTGAACCCTGTGTCCTTGAAGTTGTTAGAGCCCTCCACTCCTGTGTCTCTCATTATTATCCCAGACATTAATGTATTACCTCAGATTGAGTGAGTAGTGCAACTGCCTATGTCAGTGGTAAGTTCAGAAAGCACTCCTGCAAAAATACTACGATATGTTTCTGTTCATCCCTGTATTTTTCAGGACATGTACCCCATCAAGCATGAGGTTATGTAATACACTCCCTGAAAGGAATAAATCTACTTCAAGTGGTCACAAACTGCTCTTTAGAGCTTAGTCACTGACCCACAGTTTCCCTGCGCATTGGTAATCGACTGTTGCAGGACACCACACCAGACTTGACCTTCGTTAAGAATGCTAGTGGCATTCGTTGACACAATGACAAGAAACTCTGGAAGTGACCACTTTATCGTAGAAATTTTTATGAAAGCTAAGGCAACCACCCATAGGGCATTCAGCGTAGTAGACTGGGATACCTTCTGTAAACGTTGGGCAGAGGACTCCCATAAGTACGAACAGTCTCAGAATCAAGCGGCTTTACTGCTTCTGTCGTGGTAGCGACACTGGCCTTCCTGATTTTTGCAGTTCAAAGCCCCAGTGCACAGTCACAGCTCATTCTCCTGGATTTCCCATTATGGCTCGGGTTGCGTGCCACGAGCCTTTCTCCAACCCATCTCGTATGTGAACAAGGTGTGCAAGTGCACCATCAGAGGTCTCGCACATGGACGCCTGGCATGTGCCTCGTGCCCTCTTGCTCATGACAGCTCGGCAGTCGATGGGCAGAAGCGCATGGGAGGCATGTGGAACCTCCTGAAGCAACTGCTAGACTACTCGCAGTGAAAAAGCAATCAGTGCCTAGCTATTGATAGCCCATTGCCTCCTTTATTAAGAATTCTGGCTCGTTTTCCCAGCAGAGTCAGAGAACACCTATACCACTTTGGAGAACGGAAACTGTACCTTTGGACTGTTGTATCAAAATAACATAGAAATGAGGTGTGGCGGTGCACTGAACTGCAATACTGTGAGGCGAGATGGCACTGCCAGTACTATCATCATTATTAGACAGACGCATTTTTTTTTGCAGCAGCTAGGGTGGCTGACTGCTGGTTTGTGCTGCTCACTTTCTGTGGTATTTTGTTTTTTAGGGGTGAAGCTCCTTAAGGCGTAGGTTGTGCGTCTCGTTTTAGTCCTTAGGGTGTCCGCTGGATGGAGGTACGTGTATATGATGAATATATGATGAAAAGATGCGAGATGGCGGTACTTGGGAGTGTTCACTAAACGGACGGATGGACAGACATACATACATACAGACATGCAGACGGACGAACGGATAGACAGACAGACATATTAACGTACGTGGCCAGCGGATGATTCATGGTTTATTGATAAAAGCCTCCGAAGCTTTGCCCCACTCATCATCATTCACTTAATTGATATGCTGAGATTTTATTCTCATTGCTAAATTATGATTCGCGTGTGGCCAGGTGACCAAACTGGCCTTGACTAGCTAAAACGTCAATCAAGTAAGGTTTGCATTGTTTATTGCGAGTGCTCAAGCCAGTACAACCGTTGTATACAGTCGGGTCCAAACAAAACAAGTCACTCATACATATTAAAAGCTTTCAACCCATGTGTAATACAACTGTGCAATGTCGCATCGTGTTGACTGGGTAGGCAGGAGTTTTTGATTCTCAGGCATTAGCACATATCATAGGTAATATGCATTTAAGTGATGGGAATAAAAAATATTTCAGGCTTGTTACATTTCTGATTAGAGTCAAGTGAAATGATTAGTACAGCTAGAATTTCTCATCACAAGTAGTGATCGGTCTCCTGAGTATGCAGTGAACATGTATGCTAAAGGAACAGAGTTATGAGGTGGGTGCTTACAGATTGAAAAGGCCTAATTCTAAGAAAGTAAGCTTTAGGCATGCATTGTACATTTTTGTTGCTTGTACATCTTTGTCCATGCTCATACGGTACCTGGCCTCTGCTCAGCCCTGAGCACAATCTCATTTTTGCATAGACATGTAGAAAGAACTTGAGCACTCTCGTGCAAGCAACCTCTCTTGAAACGAATCGGTGGCACATGATGTGAATCTGTCCAAATGCTGGATCAACAAAGGTCACAATTATTTCAAACTTGTTATTGTGTTCACTTTTTCAGTGTACTTGTGCTTGAAAGTTTAAGTTGTTTTCTCCCTGCTACTTTTAGAGATTTCGACTTTAAGTACATAAAATATTGCAGTGTGGCTGTGGGTAAGTCAAGATCATGTACGGTTCAACTAGCTCTGCAGTTTTCTAAATTTTTTTCGTGACAGTAGTGCACAGAACTTCACTTCTCAGTGGTAGACACTATAGCTATGACAACCTAATTGAAACAAAAGCAAATGTGCTCAAAGGAATCTGGGACATTTCTCTGCTAAATGACCTACACTTCCATGCGTACGTTAGCTCTTTCTTGGCAGACCGTAATGCCACTATTTAATCTACCAACTTAGATTCAAAGAGTTCAAGTTAGGGGCTAAGGGCACGCCGCAGGGTGCCCCTCTTTTTGGAAATAGCGATGAAAGGTCTATCAGAAAAGCTTGCTCGAGTCGAGGGCATGAACAATGCGCTGACGACATCACCGTTTGGTGTGGTGTGAGATCTGATGGGGCCTTGGAGTGCGCCCTTCAGGAAGCTTTGGATGTTACTGAAGAGTACATTAAAGAAACAGGACTCCATCAAAGTTGAAACTACTGCTTTATAGACCAAATTCCCGAGGTATGAGGTACTCTACACATCTCAAACAGATTTCCATCAATATACATGTGAAATCTGGCCAGATGATACCTAGAGTTGACTCTGTCAGGATTTTAGGTTTATTACTTAATGCAAAAGGACACAACAATCAAACTGTTGCCCACGTGAAGGCACAGATGAAGAATATGCTCAGAATAATCACAAGTCTCTCGAATTGCAGAGGTGGCCTCAGTGGGAGCAATCTCCTGAGGCTGTATTATGCCTTCCTTATGAGCCGCATAAACTGCATTACATCGGTGCTACAATGGTCTCGCTCAAAGGAAGCCAGAATTGATGCACTGATAAAAAAAATAATCAAATGCATACTGTAAATTCCTGCTAGCACTAGCATAGAGAAGCTTCTAAAACTTCTCGACCGCCTCATTCTCATTGGCTTAAAGGATTTCTCTGGGCAGATAGTTGTGCTGTACGCACAAACATCGAGCCTCTTCAGCGAACCACATCAGATTTACTTCAAGTTGAAGAACCTGTCTAGGAAACTTGAGGTTAAAGGAGGCAACTGCTCATAAGTACCTGGCCTCTGCGAAAGGTGCTAGCACTTTGGTGCTGCATTGCTACACTGCTGCAGGCAGGGCCCTATTAGTCTTCAGGGTAACTATGCTGCGATTCCTGCTGCCGCTTGCATGTATCCTATTGAGTTCCGTTGTCTCATCAAAAGCTGAGTATACATGCCATTCACTTGATTACAGAATGGGGCTAAGCCTGGGCCAGTGTTGCTTGAGATAAGGCAAATCGTAGTTTCGATTGCAATGGGAGTGCTCCTTTCTTTCTGTTCGGCAATCTGTTTAAATGAATAGGGTCTGTGCTTCTAAGTACTCGCTTGTTGGTGTTGGCAATAGTTGATATTCAAAGCAGATATATGCATACACACTATGCATTGCTACGAATGCATGGACATGTATATATGCACGAACATACATGCATGCTACGCACACACGAGGAAGGATTACAGCAGCTCAATTTGAGAATCGGGAGCACTAAGACTTGCACAAAAAACAAGTATATACGAGAAATAGTCGTACAGATAGCGCTATAAGTTTCCTAAAGTGCTTGCTTATATAAACAAAACTATACTCTGCACTTACAGAAACCCGAATATTGATAAAAATGTACTCAGGGTAAATAATGGTGTGCTCACTGAGGAGAATTAAGTTGCACAAACTACTGTAGTGTCCGTCACCTTCTTTCCAACGTGCAAGTTTCTGATCTGCGTCATTCTTCGTAGCACGTCGTCTACATCCTTCGGGAAGTGATAGAACGATACTTTGCCATCTTTCCACCGCGATGCTATGCATTGCGGCACATTGCAATGGTCTCTGGACATAACTTTCTTCTTTTCGGACTTGTGTGTGCGGCATGGTGAAAAGAACTATGCGGCCGCTTCTCAACACGCGCAACGTGGTAACATGTCTCCTTTCTGTAGCTTGCACGAGTGTGCGTCCAAGGAATGCTTTATTGAATGATAGCGCGCGCTCTTATATACATGTTATCTCGAAGGGTGTTGCTGCTAACTGGGCACGTGTGTGCATGCATGTCTGCCACATCTCCCATTTTAACGAAAACAAAATTTACAGTTCTGGCAATGAATATTTTTACGGTGGCCGTCGGTTGCATTCATTTTTGCGTAGTTGCGGCTCGACAAGACTGACGTCGGCTTGATCTTCTCGCGTGGGGGACACCAGTGGAGCGGGGGCCAAGCGGAGATGATCTCTGGTACTCTGCAATTGGAGCCCATCTTTGGTCTCGACAATGCAGGCTCTCGTACTGTTCGCAGGCTTGACAACCATAGCAGGAGACCGGGACTTTGAAGACACGTACACTGTGATGCAGGAGCCATCAGGAAGTCCTGGTAAAGGCTTTGTACCCCTGTTGTAGAAGGAAGGTTGTCTACTTCTGATGTTATGGAGCCGCCGTTGGACCACCTCCGGGGGTATAGTCAGTGGTCGCAAGTGGGTTTCTGTGACTGGCAGCAGCGTCCTCGCATGTCCGCCCATGAGCCTCTGCATTGAATATTTCAAATAGGAATCGTGGGGTGTGTTCCTTCAATCAAACAAGGCAGCGAAAAAATCTACTGAGCCATACCTATACCTTTTAAGATTTTTAGGCTTCTTGTACTGCACGTTCAGCCATTTTGTTTGAGTGGGATTGATAGGAACTGAAGCAAATATGGTGCAAGCCAATCTTACCGACAAATTCACAACATTTCTGGCTGCTGAATGGTGGTCCATTGTTCATGCATAGGCGCTGGAAGAAGCCATGAGTGGTGAATATGTCTGCGGAAGCAGCAATCACCTTGTCGGCTGTCAACGTCACAGGCCTGATTTCAAAGATGGAATAAAAGTCAACAACCACCAAGTACTGTGCCATTGTGATAGCATATGTCAGCTCCAACAACTTCCCAGGGTAGGCTTGGAATTTCATGGCTGATCAATGGCAAGTGCAGATTTCGTGGCTTGTGCTTTTCGCAGGTGCCACAGTGTCGAGCAACTTCTTTTATGTCGCTGTTTATAAAAGGTCAATAAAGGACAGTTCGGGCAGGTGCTTTCATTTTTTCCGCCCCTCCACGCGCCGCATGAAGGTAGACAAGAATTTCGTTGCACATCTTCACAGGAATAATAAGGCGGTTGTTCCTGAACACTAGGCCGTCTTGCGTATGCAGCTCATCCCAGAAGCTCCAGTAGCACTGTAGCCCACTGCTGTGAGCTTTGCTCTCCGGCCACTGACTGCTTGCATACTGCCGAAGTTTTACCATCACAGGGTCCTGGTCGGTCTCTTGCAGAACGTGGCTCAGCCGTGTGTCTTAAACCGGCAGGCAGGCAATGGTGTTCAACTGATAATTCAGGCACTGTTCTTGTAATGTTGCTTTGCTCGGCGACCGTGGTAAAGCGTCAGCAACAAATAGCAGTTTTCTGGGTGTGTATGGGATGACTGTCGGGTACCTTTGCAAGCTGAGCCGCATGTGTTGAAGGCTTAGAAGACATTGGCATAATGGCTTCTTGAATATCATTTCTACTGGCTTGTGGTCAGATTCTACCCACAATTTCAGGCTGCCTGAGAAGATAGCCGGGAAACCTTTCACAGCCGCGAACAATTGACAGCATCTCCTTTTTGATCTGGGCATGTCTTTGCTGCGTTTTTGTCAAGGAACGCGATGAATACGCTAGTAGATACCCATCTTGTATGATCACTGTGACAATTACATTCTGGCTGGCATCTACTGACAGCCTAATTGGTTTTCCCTTCTCATGATAACTTAGTACAGGCGCTGTCGCAAGCGCTTCCTTCAGAGCCTTGAAGCCTGCATCTTGGTGGTCTTCCCAAAGCTACGAAACATTCTTCTTTAGCAGTTCTCAAAGTGGTGTTGTTAGGTCTGACAGATTCGGAATAAAGCGAGAGACAAAATTTACCATGCCCAAGAACGTCTGCAGCTCTTTCTGGTTGCTCGGCATTTGGACTTGCAAGATGTCTTCTAGCCGTTGGGTATCCAGGCTCAGGCTGTCACGTGTCAGAACGTGTCCCAGGTACCGGACAGACTCCTGTAAAAAATGGCATTTGTTTTTGTTCAATTTCAGTTCGTACTCTCGACAACGTCGTAGAACGTGTTCAAAGTTTGCATCATGCTGCTCTCTTGATCGGCCCCACACTAGAATGTCGTTCATGACAACCGCTATGTCTTCGAGGCCTTCTAGTACTCGGTGCATGGCTCGCTAAAATATTTCTGGTGAGAACAAGATTCCAAATGGTATCCATAAAAACTTGTAACGGCCATATAGAGTGCACATAGCATTCAATGCTGAAGAAACGAAAGCTTGCGCAGCATGCTTTCCTCGGAACATTGATTTAACAGATGCCTTTTGTAAATGGGAACAATGTTAAGTCAAAAGTTGGCGCCCTGTTTACACTGGTCTAGTGAGCCCTGGAAACTACAGATTCTTCTGATAGTGGAGCTCCACAGACTACTGGGTAGGGCTACTGTGAAACAACTTGTACTTCTCAGCATATGTAACCGTTGGAATCGAACTTTTTGCGAAATTTTGTGCGTGGGGCAGTTTGTTGGAAAAAAGATTGACGAAGAAGGTGACGATCTGTTCTGGCCTTCGATTCTCGTGCTGCAGCAGTAAACCATGGAGTTGGGCTGCAGTTTATATTAAATTAAAAATCAACGGGAGGCTCGATTTTCTTCAAGTATATCGTTATATTCAGGTTTGTTTTATCGAGGTTTGAGTGAATGTTTGAACTCTCTTGATGTGTGAGTTCTACCATAATGGCTGCAGTTGCCTACCATCCTTGTAGTCATTTGAGATAAGCCCATTTTATGTCGTGCTGTCGCCACCATGGCAACCACCATCATCATAATCATCATTATCATCAGTTTCATTATGCCCACTGCAGGGAGAAGGCCTTCCCCAAATTCTGCAATCAACCTGGTCCTGTGCTTTCTGCTGCCCCATTATACCTGCAAGCTTTTAAATCTCATTGGCCCACCTATTTTTCCGTCTACCCTTTGTGTGTTTGCCTTCTCTGGGAATCCAGCCAGTTACCCTTAATGACCAGCGGTTATCCTGCCTATGTGCCACGTGTTTGACCCATATTCATTTCTTCTTCTTGATTTCAACTATGATATCGCTAACCCCGGTTTGTTCCCTGACCCACTCTGCTCCCTTCTTGTCTCTTATGGCTAACCTCCCTGTCCTTCCTCATCTATTCCTCCTCCTTGTCTCTTAAGGTTACACCGATCTTTTTTCTTTCCATCTCTCGCTGCATCGTCCTCAATTTAAGCTGAACCCTCTTTGTAAGCCTCCAGGTTTCTGTTCCGTAGGTAAATACCAGCAAGACGCATGTATTATATATCTTTCTCTTGAGGGTTAGTGGCAGATTACCATTCATTGAGAATGCTTGCCAAATAAGCTCCACCCCATTCTTATTCTTCTAGTTACTTCAATCTTGTGGTTCGGCTCCGCAGTTACTACCTGTCTTAAGTAGACGTACTCTTTAACAACTTCAAGTGCCCTGCTACCTATCTTGAAGCGCTGTTCTCTTCAGAGGTTGTTGTACATTACTTTCGTTTTCTGCGGATTAACTTTAAGACCTTCCTTTCTGCTCTCTTTGTCTAATTCAGTAATTATGTATTGCGATTCGTCCCCTGAGTTACTGAGCAATGCAATGTCATCGGCAAAGCTCAGGTTACTAAAGCACTCCCCATTAACTCTTATCCCTGACTCCTTCCAATCTAAGGCCCTGAAAACCTCCTGTAAACACAGTGAATAGCGTTGGAGAGATCATGTCTTCCTGCCCTACACCCTTCTTTATTGGGATTTTATCACTTTCTTCATGAAGGACTATGATGGCTGTGGATCTGCTGTACATTTCTTCCAGTATGTTTATATAGGCTTCGTCGAAGCCCTGATATCGCAGGACCTACATGACTGCTGATATCTTGACCGAATCAAATGCCTTCTCAAAATTTGTGAAAGTTATGTATAGGAGTTGTTTGTATTCCACGCATTTCTCTGTTGCCTGATTTATAGTATACATAACGATCTATTGCTGAGTAGCATGTAGTAAACCCTGCTTAGTCTTTTAATTGATTGAACTCTAATGGCGTCTTAATTTTATTAGCTAATATTTTCCTAAAAAGCTTGTAGACAACGAACAGTAAGCTGACTGTCCCGTAATTTTGCAAGTCCTTGGCATCTTCTTTCTTATGTATTAACATGATTTTGGCATTCTTCCAGGATTCTGGTAAATGCTTTTATGAAAAATCATAAAGCATGCTATTTACATGTTGCTTTTCATTTATGTCTTTCACCTAAGGAATGCGCACCGGGCTACATTAGGGATGTCAGTGGCCCTGGCCTTGGAAGGTGCACACGATGCCGCTGCAATGGCCACTCAGAGTCGTGTGACGCAGCTTCTGGAAACTGTGTTGTAAGTACTCATATCGTTAAAAAGTGCAATATCTGCTAATATACTGCTTTGTGCTATGCAGAGATTATCCATTTTGTCTGTGAATTAATCTGGGTATCCTTGCTTTCCTTGGTGCTTCCAGAGGTGTAGGCACAACACTGTAGGAGATTACTGCCAGAGGTGTGCTGATGGATTTTATGGTGACGCAACCAGGGGCACACCTGAGGACTGTAAACCTTGTCCGTGTCCGCACACAATGCCATCCAACCAGTAAGAAATGAATGCAATCATTGCCTGTTTGAAAATTTAATTCAGTGACATTGTGTTTGCATTACTCCCCAAAAAGTGCAAATTTGAGTACAGTCCCAGTGAACCACAAATATTATGTAGACATACATGGTATGTTTCTCATGAACATTGTAAATGCCTCTTAGATATCCATAGAAATTTAAATTATGAAGATTAGATGTACCCGCAACTATGATAAGCTCGGCCGAGCAAGGTTGCAGGTATGTTCCACTTGGACATTGAATGGACATTCATTATATATACACAGACATTGTCATTTAGTAAATAAAAGAATTTTTTTGTGCTTTTGCACTTTTACTGCATGTAGTTGATGTGTTGCACCTGCGGTTCCATGGCAGTCTTATTCATTGCAGCTCAGCTGTACCTTTAGAGAGCATCAAAGGCATGAGGCTGCCCGGATTGATTGATATGTGGAATTTAACATCCCAAAACCACCGCATGATTAGGAGAGAGGCCGTAGTGGAGGGCTCCTGAAATTTCGACCACATGGGGTTTTTTAACATGCATGCACCCGAATTTGAGCACACGAGCCTACAGCATTTTCGCCTCAATAGAAAATGCAGCCGCCGCAGTCGGGATTCGAACTCACAATCTACGGGTCAGCAGCCAAGTACCTTAACCACTAGACCACTGCAGCGGGTTGAGGCTTGCCGGATTGCTATCAGACGACAAAGTTATGGCCAGGCTCACGACGTTGATGCTTTCAATAAATATAGCACACCAGCTAAAAGCCAGACTGCAGTGGTATCTAGCACACAAAACTATACATGCAGCAAGTACGAAGGCAGCGTGGGGGTGGGAATAAGCCTGCTTTGTTTCTCTTGAGCTTCCTTTCCTCCTCTTTCTTTTTTCAGCTTTTCTATCTTTATTTCTCCTGTATTTCTTTCATCTATTTCCCTTGCGCTTTCTATTTGTCTTTCTATTTCTTCCTTTTCCATCTCTTTCTATTTCTTGTTTGCTTCATCTTTTCTATTTGTTATGTGGTTTTGCTCGCATACGCGAACTGACGACAGCCCAGGCCCATAAAGTGCTTCATACTTAAAAGCACCTTCAGGCTGCATGATTTCGCACAACCATGAACCGCAGCACTAACGCCACTCATGTTAATTTTATGTTCGTTGACTCACTTAATCTCCTCACGCATGTAAGTGTATGCATTACGCATGCTCAAACGTTACATATTCATTTATGTTCAAGTACTTTCGAGATTTTATGTGGCAGTATATATTTATCATTCTAAACGTCAACTAAAGTGGTTTTGAAAAATGGCAAGTTCTGCGATGCATTTAATATTGGGAGCATGTATATGTGACATCATTTGTGACGTCTAGTTTTTATCTGAGAGAGAAGTGCATACGACGTTAATAATACATAGGCTCTTTAGACTCTGAGAATCACACTTTATGGGTATGTCGATTTGATGTTATTGACAGACGTAGACATATGGATCTTATTTCTACGTTAACAGGATATCAGGGGTTCACTGGGGTAGACTCGGTGGACGGAAATGTCTTCAACAAAACTGCTGCTTAAATGGAACAACTGCATCTAACACAGTTGGTTCTGTACATGTGCTTTGCAGCTCTCAGTAAACAGAACTTCTGTTATATGAAACATGTCATGGTCTCCAGAAGTTCCGTTTATCGAGACTCTACTGTACATATAGTTTTTTCCAGATAAAATTAATCTCTAGTGTTTCTTTGAAGTGTGGCACACTAGTTTCGCTTCAAGAGATAAAATTAGGCAGACTGTTGCCAAACCATTGTGGAAGGAACAAGGGTATGCAAACACGGAAGCAAGAGAGGAGAACCAGACAATACGAAGTTTGCATGCTGCATTCAAACAAAGTAGCCCGACTTTCTGTTCTGTTTGACTACTTTCTGAAACAGCCTGCTGAAAGCTTTCACCCTGCATAGCTATTAAGGATTCAGCATGTGATTGATTTTGTCTTACATGTGTGCATGAATAATCAATATTGCTGATAAATAAATTATATGCAATTAAATATCAAGGATGTTCACATGAAACATGTTTGATCAGTTGATTTAACCTGATTAGAACTCTTCAATATGTTATTTGGCTATTGGTATTCAAAAGACATAAGTATTTCTGCACTGAGAGCAGAGTTTAGGTAATTATGTCTGGCTGCTCACCAATGTATTTGTTGTCTTGAGCTCTGTCACAGATCCTTTACCAGCTCTTTTCATCTTGCATCGCACTGTGCTAGCAGTACTTCTCTTGCTGCACCAGTTATGTACTACAGTTAAATCGTAATATAAGGAAATTGATAAATTCCCGGAAAATTCGTTATGAAAAGGATTTTGTTATATGCAGTTTCGGCTCGAAAATTCGAAAAAGTTAATGCACAAATAAAAAAAAAAGTGGGACTGAAGGCAGAGCTAAGCAAAAACACTTATTTGACAGTAAACCATCTTGCTAGGAAGCGCAGCCACTATTACAAAGAACACACAACACAAGCGCATACTTGGGACCTCGTCTTAATGTCTTTTTCACATATTCAGGAAGAATGACGTCATCCGTGGTGTGAATAATGTTGTCCTCGCCAGGTTTCTTCGGTTGGCGCTTGGACCTGAGTTGCGACAGTATTGTTGACCAAAGGCGTTCCGTTTCGCAGGTTACAAGGCCCCCCAATTCACGCCATTTTTTCTTCTTCTGGTTTGTTGAGCTGCATTCCATGTAGATATGATTGCGCAGAATATCTCGGTAGAGGCCTGTCTGCCTGTGACACTCCGAACGCAGGATCCTGGCAATCCGGTTCCCATGGCTGCGCTTCCTAGCAAGATGGATCCTTACCAACTGGCCCGATACAATTGTTTATTGACAGTAAAAAACTGCATTATTATTGTGATGGAAATTGTATGGACACTCACGGCGGGTTTTTGCCGTCGCCGCCATGTTCCCTAACATGCCCCCGCGCATCCTTTCACAAGCGGGTAAAAGCGCGCGAGCGCTGCTGAAGCAGAGATCAGAAGAGTGGGTACATCCCATATCGCCTGTAAACTGCATAAGATAACATCTCTCGCGTGTCAGAACTGCCGTGAAATGCAGAAAGTAAACCACCCGTCTTGAACGGGCACTTCTCCCGTCTTCAACCCGTCTTGAACGAGCGTTTTGTACGAGTTCCGCGATATCGGATCCAAAAGAATTTGCTGTAGGCCTTGCTTCTTGTAGCATGACAATTTTCTGCTATTGCGTTCATAGCACTGCATTCAATGTGCCGTCATGTTGCCTGAACTAATCGGCGAATCCCGAAAGCTACCAGACTGCGAACTCACGGCGCAAAACGAAAGCGCGTAACGAGCCGACCTCCGAAGATCTGTCGTCACCGTGGTCACGGAGAGTTACTTTCCATCAGCGCCTAATCTGACGTCCCCGCGGTGGTGAGGACACGGTTGTCCGAAATTAAGAAATGTCACAGTTTCGCCACAAGCGCGAAACAATGAATGCGATGGAAACAACTTGGAATGTACAACGCTGAGAACGGCATGCAGATCGGAACGTGCAGCGCGCGGCTCACGCACGAAAACGGCATACACAGGACGAGAACGAACTAACAACATTTAACGCTCGGTACTGGACGCGCCGTTTAAACAAAAACGAGGCACGACACGTAATCACCACAGGTGCAAATACGAGTGCGCGCTAACAAGTGCCCCAGTTAATTTTGTTACTGCGCTGTGTTTGAAAAGCGCACTCTTTTCGCAAACGGTGCCTGGCCAGTGAGCAAAGAGATTTTTGTGCGCCCGGCAACTAAACTCAATGATTCCGGTCAAAGTCGAAGGCGCGCGACTAAATTTCCCCACCGAAGGATAAGCGCGCGCGTGCACAAGCAAGCAACCCCCCCCCCCCCCCCCCACCTAAACTGGCGCGGCAAAGTACGCGTTGGAGATAAGCGCGCGTCGGGGCGCTTATCATGCAGCATGCAGGGCGCCGAGCGCGGGCGGCTCTTTTTTTTTTTTTTTCTGTCTTGAGTTTATATATCTATATATACATGGTGAATGGCGGCGGCAAAAAAAAAAAATAAATCAGCCGAGACTGGATATATATATATTTGCTATCGCAATAAGAAAAAAAAAGCTGAACGTCGTCGGGGCCACTACATGCGCGCGCAGTGAAACTGCACGCACGCGCGGCGTCAAAAACAAATAGCGAACAACACGGACGCTGCGGAAAACTATTAGGTAAAGCGCCCTCCATAGGCTACACGGCCCCACATATATGACGCTTACTAAAAGCGTGGCACTGCCAACGCGCAAAAGTAGTTTTTTTTTTTTTTGTTAAGAGTGGGGGGGGGGGGGGGCACACTCGCGCATGCGCCCGCGGCGGCGAAAACGGCGGCCACGCCGGTGCAGGCCTGCCTGTCCGCCTGGCGCACACCCGCGCGCATGCAATAACGAGCGCCCCTTGGTTGACGGCGGGGCAGCCCCAGAAGATGCACGCTCGTACCAAAATGCGGAGCGAAATTCCTAGATTGTCCGTGGGGAAAATTCGCTATATCAAGGTTGTCTCCCGCTGTTGCTTTAAATTTGTTACATAGAGGTTGCAAATACATGTGCTTCTACGAAGCGATGACGGGGAATTGAAAAACTTCGTTATATCGAGGAATTCGTTATATTGAGGTTTGTTATAAGCATGTTTAACAGCATAACAAGTTACAAGCCTGCATGCCCAAACAGTTTATTTTTCCACCTTGTTTCTTCACTGAGCTGCTGAAGGCTGAAATGACTGAATTGTTGGCTTTATTGCCATTATTGGCTCTTCATAGGCATACTCCCAGGGGTAGGGGGCAAAGGGGACACTGCCCCCCCACTAAGAAAAGTAAGGGGGGCTGAGCCCCTACTTTCAACAGTGGGCATTGTTGGCTGCCCACTGAGATGCGAACTGAAACCCTATTTGGGCTTTTTCTGTGAAGCCAAATAGAATGAAGTCGCTTGAGCCGCCATAACCGATCTGCATTGTATAATCATTTTGAGTTGCGCATGGCTCATTTTGAGTTTTGAGTTGTGCATCATTTTGAGTTGCAAGTGGTGGAAAGGTAGAATGCCCGCTAAGGCCAGAGTTCAAATCACAACTGTAGATGTGAAATTTTAATGTTGTAGTGCAACTTCTTGATCTGTATTCCTTTCCTTTGTTTCTTAATACTAGCTTCACTTGGAACGTGTTGCTAAAAAATCTTTCCTGAAATGTGAAGTAAATTTTAAGAAATTAGACATTGAGCTTATTTGCAGCGCCGTCGCATGGCATTCAATGAAAGCATAAAGTATGGCTTCCGTGATATCTCAAATTCGCAAAGCTCTCGGAGTTATACTTTACGCTTGTCTTGCTTGCCTTGCTCACCCTTGCCTCGCTCATTTCCTTCTACCTTCTTCTCTACCTGTGAAAAGTGGACAAATAAAGAGAAAAGGAGAAAGCAAGCATGACATAGAAAGAGAAAGGAAAAAAGTAGGAAGAAAAATAGTGAGAGCAAGAATAGACAGAGGGAAAGAAATCAATAGAAACAAATACAGAGAAACGACAGAAATAATGAGAAGACAAAGAAGAAAAGAGGACTAAAAAAACAAAAAAAAAGGCTGTCCAGATGTGCACTTTTTTCAGGCTTGGCACCATTATAAAGCAAACCAGCCTTTTTTTCGTAAGAGCACTGCCTTAGACGCAATTTTTGTCATTTGCGTCTTCATTCGCGCTCTAAACACGGCTTAAGACCCCTGTGGGCAATTGAAAGGGTGCTCTGGTCCAATACCTTGTTACAAACCGACTGCGCAATTGTGAGTGGCGACTATGGCTTTCTGAAAGTTCACATCGATTTTGGCTGTTGGCAAATGTTGATTTCTTGTCTTTTCATCATATATTTGCAGTGTTTCATCCTCTATGCCCTTCAAGGAATTCATTAACCCGATCATGGCCAAATTTTAACAAATAAATAAAAGCTTTTGTGCCATTAATTATGCATGCCAGAACACGTATGAATTATCCAGTTTTCCAAATTAATGGGTGTCATATTGACAAGCTTTTACTAGATTAGCAAACTTGCGTGGTTAAAAGTTAGCACACAGCTTATTCTTAAGGCTCATCTGAAATACTTAGCTTTGTCAACTACGTGATTCGTATAAAAAGTGCAAATATTAGGTAATAAAGAAGGAAGATGTTCTCTGTAGTGATGCTATTTAGAATGCTGAAATCAGACTCCAGTTTGCACATAGAATGGTCAGTCCAAAAAGTTTAAATCTGGCAGGCCCCTAAAAAGTGTTTTGAGAACTTTTCGTTTTATACTTTGCATCAGTGGGATCAAAGCATTAGCAGCACCGCTAAATTTACAAGTCATGTAGATTATACCGTCTTGTCTTTGTGGAGAAATTAAATACAAACTTGACAACAAGAGATAATGCAAACCAAATTTGTATAATTTTGTAAAGGAAAACCACTTAAAGTACCATGCCAGAACCTCTGGCGGTATTGTTTCATCTTAAATTGACTTGAATACTGCAAAACACTACTTGGATGGCAAAAAAACACAGTACAGAAACTTTCTACTATTGAGCACAATAATAGCGTGGTCACATATGTGTTCGCCATTGCGGGGTTTACCAAATCCCTCTGGTATGTGGTGATATTTATATCGAAAGAACTGCAATGTGCACCAACGTGACAGTATGAAAGCGCCACAGGAAATGGGAACGTAATGAACAAATAACAAACCTGGCCGCCCACTGCACAAAGCACCAGTACAAGCTACTGTTTCGTAATTTTTCCGGTATATAGAAATCCATTAGTAAACTATTTTGAATCATGTTTTTGTAAATAAATAAATAAATATATATATATATATATATTCTTTCCTACCTTATGGCTGGGCAGACCCCCAAGCTTGAGCCTATTTAGCATCTAATATCACACATTTATCAACGTGGCACATAAATAAACATGGACAACAGCATGATGTGATATTAACAATAAAGTATATATATATATATATATATATATATATATATATATATATAGTGTGTGTGTGTGTGTGTGTGTGTGTGTGTGTGTGTGTGTACAGCCGATGCAGTGAGAAAACCTAGGCCCCCCACTCGCAAAGCAGTTGGTATGCCACTATGGCTCTTTGTCATTCTAGAAGCTTGTGACTGTTCACTTACGATAAATTTTTTTCATGTGTATGATTTGTATTTCATCATTTATATGGGTTATATGGGTATAGTGCACCACAACAAAAACACACAAAAAAAACACACACACAGCGCTATACCCATATAGATGATGAATCTCAACCAACTAGCCCAACAATGTGCCTTAGTATAGTTTGTAATTATATATTAAGTTCATTGCTAATGTAGCAACTGTTCTTGGTATTTTTTTAGAAATGATAAACTGAGCTGAAACTATAAATGAGCTATAACATATTGCATGACAGGTAGATAGTTCGTTGCTAGCATATTTTTCTTATGAATATTCACCACGAACTTTTTGTGATTGACTGCTTTCGAGCACTGAAAATATTCTATAAAAAAAAAGGCAATAAAAGACAGGCCAGTAGCTGGTGCTTTACTGTGAAGCATGCTGGAGCACTGTGCGTTAAGTTCCCGGGTCATGATGGCACAGAATTGAGAAGGTGGTGGTTGTTCGATTTATGTGTACAGCGCTATAAGTGTGAATGCGCAATAATACAAAGATTTTTTTCTTATTCCCTTTGGTCAAAGCTTAATTGTTACTAATGGTCTTTTTTTTGTTTCAGGTTTTCGCCTACTTGCTTTTTGGACACTGACAACAAGCCAACATGCAATGCTTGCCCACCTGGTTACACAGGGCGAAACTGCGAGCAGTAAGTTCATTCGGTGCAGTCTCACTGTGGTGTAGAACAAAGGCCTCATGCCCTTAGTGCTGATACATAGCCTCTTGTGCACGTATAGAAATGGCTTTTGCTAAAGAATTCAAGCTTGTAGCAAACGCTGGCGGCCAGATCCTCCAAGTATAGAACAAGCTCAGTAATGGCACCATGCAGTTCAACTATTGCCTAGAAAATTTTTTGTGCAAGTTTTTTTAATGCTTAATTCACCTCATGTCACATACTGAATTTAATTGTACAGTGTTGGAGCCACCAAGGATGCAGGCAAAAAAACACAAAAAAATGAGCCAGAACTAAAATAAGTTAAGGATTGATGTGATACGATCAATCAATCAGTCAATTTATTTCAGTTTTAGGGGGACAAGTAAAAACCCAGCATCACAGCAATGTTTTACTGACCTTGCCATCCTGCAAGATTAACGATAGCAGAGTAGGTAAAAAAAATATAGCAGAAAAAAATTCAGGCAGAAAAAGTTACGAGCCCTTGCTATGCTATGCTATGCAGTGCTTTAGCATCTCCCCTCTTCCCTTCCTTGCAGTAGAATCTCCGCTCTTCCTCTTTGTCACTTCCCTTTGCTACAAGGCTCTCTCTCCTCTCCTTTTTTTCCCACTTCCCTTTGACACCTCCTTGCTGAAACATGCTCTGCTCTGCTAGCGTGCCTGGATAGCAGAGGGCTAAGATGCTCGCCCTCATATTGTGGGTATGCAGTTTGAAACCCCACGTTGCCAAGATATTTTTCCGCCCCGCAGCTTCTTTTCCTTTTTTTCACCTCTTTTCTTTTTTTTGCTCATTTTCATATTTTACTATGCACCCTCTAATCTGTTTTTCTTTATATTTCTCGCTCCTTCTTTCTGTTTTTCCTGGGGCGTAATAGGTTAGTGCACGCCAAGCTTTGAAGGAGCACACGTGGATGCTGTTGAGTGCAACGCCTTTGCAGCTTAGCTTAACGGGCATCTGACCACTTTCGGGAGCATGTCATATGATATGGTGAATATTATGTTGCTGTTATGATGCACTAGCCCTGTACGTGAGCATGGAATTTTTAAGGGGTTTGCAGAACTTTTGTATTCACAACAACTTGTTATGTATCTGTTTGATGTATGCTGGTCTTGTATACTTATATCCTTGAAATGTTTTTAAAAGGTGGTTCATGAACTGTGTCCCAAATCACGGGAAATAAGGTAATTTGAATATTTGCTCACTGCCTTCATAATTACTTTTTCTGTATTAGTAGACATTTATTAATTATGGCAATAATTACATAAATAAATTATTGCTGGATGCAGGCAGTTAAGCCACATTGGAAAATTGAATTCTTTCCCAGTGAGAGGCCTCGGCACATTGAAATGCTAAAAAAGCAGCCTCTGGTAATCATTGCAAAGTGATGAAATTGGACAGAGTTCACCGGTTAAACCGAAGCACAGATGAGTGCAACTAACAGATGACCAGATTGACGTCACTGTTCACAACGTTTGCAGTGGTGTTGATTGATCTGCATGCCTTAATGTATGTGCATAGGTGAGGCTATAGGTTCTGGCTTTTGTATGGAAGCCGAAATGTATCACCGTTTTTAAGCTTTTTCAATTGACTGGCATGTCTTGTGTAGAGGTATGTGGAAAAAAAAAATTATGGAATGCTTTGATATGAGAGCACATGTCAAGGTCAGGTCTTTAAACTAATATGATCACAGCACATAAGGATGAATTGAAATGAAAAAATGTCCAAGTTCTTGCTTATTTATGCGAGACGAGAATAAATTGGCAAATCAGGTTGCTACTTTTATAGCATGTTTGCTTGCCAAAATGGTATGAATTGATGAAATGCTCTACAGATTATGAAGGATAGTTGTGTAGTATATGTGTGTGAAGGCAACATTTCAATAAGCAGACGGGTTTTCATCAAGACAGTAATGAAGACAAGTTCATCTGTCAAAACATTTATTCCAGCAGAATTGCTGTTTTTTTACTCACTTCACGCCCTTATCTTAACATCTATCTTGTTTTAATTGCTGAGTAAGTTGCAATTTGCAGAAGGAAACCTAGCTGTGCAGCTTCAGATGAATTCATGAGAGAGGAGGTTTAATGGTTCCATGCTGTGCAAGGTCAATAAAGTGCTGAGTGTATGTCTATATTATTGCGATGAAAAAGTTTGGCTTTACTTGGGTATGCATAAATTTAGGAGGACTTGCTTGAGTTCGGACATAATTTTTTTTATGATAATAATCATACCTCAATGTCAGCAGAAAAAAAAACAGTGTGTTTCTTCACTTTCCACATTTTTTTTCCAGCGTGCTGTCGTGCACAAACTCTTGCTTGACTTTAAAACTATCACTTAGTTTTCTTACACATATAAAACTCATAGTTGTTCTCTGTAGTTGTGTTCTTTGAAGGGACACTAAAGGCAACTATTAGGCCGATGTTGATTGTTGAAATAGCGGTCCAGAAACCTCATAGTGTTACCTTTGTCCCAGAGAAGGGCCTATTTTGAAATAAAATCACGTTTTAGTGGACCGCATCGGGTTAGCGCACTTAAAACTACCCACCCCAAGAGGCGGATCGACCGGACCGACTTGCGTCACTGTTGTCATGCACAACGTTGTCCGGCTGCACTGCACTAGTAGCAGCAGACCGAAAGCAGCGGGAGCCACAGCAGCAACAACGGCCATTGATCAATTTCCCGCAATTGGCTCTAAGATTGCAGACGTTTTTTGGTTCAACGGCACCCCACTAGATGGCAATACCTGTCTAGTGTAACTACACGAAAATTGAATTTTTGAACCACTCATGCCATTCCCCATAGTAACTTCGGCCGTTTCTTTTTTCCATGAATCAAACAGAAACGAACAAGCAGCATTTTATTGCATCTGTTGATGCACGGAAGGTTCTTTATTTAGTTCAGTTAGATTGATTACTAGTGATTAATTGTAGGCGGTCCACCTGATGTCATCATGATCATTTTGAAAATGTCCTACAGCGGCACTTGTGTTCTTGTGCATTTATCCTAATCTCTCTGTAAGTAGGCCACTGTTGATAATAATGTCATTTTAGATGCTGTCGTACATTAAGCTTTCACTCTGACGTAAGTTATTATTTGAATTTAGTGTCTCTTTAAGATTGAACTCCAGGCTTTGATGTAAATTTTATGCATGCAAGCCTATATGCTAATTTAGGTTTCCCTGTGAATTGCTTATTCTATTCTGCTAGGTATGGCATCATAGCCAGTGCAATACTTTTGCAGATGTGCACCTGGCTACAGTGGCAACCCTCTTCAGCTAGGAGGTCGCTGTGAACCTTCAGGAGGTAACTATAGCTATATTATTTCATTCAGGAGCTATTAGTCAAGTTATCATTAACTTAACTACCGCAGTAAGGCCAAACCATCTGAAATGCACATTTCAGTAAAGCAATGGAAACATGCAATGTGTTGGTAGCAGGCAGTATGAAGTGCAAAAGTGAAAAATGCGTTCAGTGACAAACCACTCAATTTGGCGAGTTTATGCAACTATAAAGCTGTTTCAATCTGCTTGATCATTCGATATGCACAGCTACTGCTTCCTGTGCACTGTTGCATTTTGTCATCTTCATCATCACTCGTGCACCAGGCACCACTGCGCCATCATCAGTGTCGACGGTTTCAATAATTCCCAAGAGCCTGGAAGCATCACTAGGCACCAGTGCCACTCTGACATGCTCTGTATCGGGGCCTCGTCTGCCAATGCGGTTTGATTGGATCCATGGCACCACTCCTGTCAATGCATCGGCTGGCTGGGTCATCCAATCAGTGTCCAGCCAAATAAGCAGCCTGTCTGTGCTAGCGCTGAGCACAGAACACAATGGGACCTATACATGCCGAGCTGTCTGGCCCACTCGCTCATTTCAAGAGGTGGCATTCATCCATGTACGGGGTAATGGCCGCTGCATCTTCCCGACTTCTTTTTCGCTCCTGCTATGCTTCCTCTGGTGTCGTTTCATGCTGATACCCCCGGCTGTGTTTCAACAACGATTTCTCGCCTGTCTCTCCGTAGAAAGACTGCTAGGCTTGTGCGAATATTTGAATGCTTCAAATATTCGGACAAATAGTAAGGTATTTGAATTTGCTTTGATTAGAATTTAAATTACTGAAAATTTCAAAGTATTTGCAAGGAACGAATATGCATTTTAGTCCTAATGTACCGCTCGTAATGTGGTTTTACTGCAGTGTAGGAATGCGAAACCATGAAAAAGCCTATCCAGGGGAAATCCCCCCCCTACACGCCTTTCTAAAATTTAAAGGGGCCCTGCAACACTTTTTGAGCATTGTCAGAAAATGCTGCTGATTCGTAGTCAAGGCTACCAAAGACACACATGCCAAATATTTATGGCGCAGCACGCATCGTGCAATTCACAATAAATTCTCGGAGACAGCAGAAAATTGCTTTCTTCTCTCGGCAAATGACTCCACAAGCTCGGAAAGCACGCGTGGCCTACTTTCTTTCCCCATGCCATTCCTTCCTGCTTACCTTCCAACGCCTTCATTGAGACGATAAGAGAAAATGCATTTGCAACGTGCAAGAAATGCTAAATAATTCCATGTGTACTGGACGGATTCTAAAAATTTTTGCATAAGTGAATTTATTAAACAATAAGCTTCTTTAGTGAATCCATTTCATGGCTACTTGAAGGTCGGACGGCTCCTTCAATGAAAATATTACTCTCAAATGAATTCATTTTATTAAGCTTAAAACTTGTTACAACGGCTTATATGTTCAAAGTATAATGAGTTTTAAAATATCACGTATTTTAAGGATCATGACTGGCAGCCTCAAATCCTGATACTATCAAATTCAAACTCTGAATTCAAATCCTGATACTACTCAACGTTGTTTTGACTACCTCTGAACGAAAAATAAATGGCATTTGCATAGAGGCCCTATTTGAACTTAAAAAAATATTTTGTAGGTTAGTTAGGTCATGATAAGTATGCCCGCTTTCTTTATACGTCATATATACTATCCTAGTTCGATTCAAAATTATTCAACCAGAATCGTTACTTAGTTTGTATTCTCTTCGAACTTAAATTTAACTATTCGCACAAGCCTAAAGACTGTGTTTGTGACGTTTTTAAGTGCAACGACAATCCGCCAGGAATCTCTCGTAAGAGTAAGTGGCAAGCTTAAAATCTGCTTTTGAGTTGCTTTTCTTAGATTTTTCAAGCTACTATTAATGTGGGAAAAGAAAACTTACTGGTGTCAAAATGCTTTGGAGAGGTTCTCGGCCAGGCTTCATAGCCCCATTGTGCATGCCCAACTAGCATAATTTTATTTCTGTTAACTGGCATGAGTTATGCACTTAATATGCTACCTAACATAGTGTTAGCTTTTTGGGGTCAATGTTTTTTTTAATTTAAATAACAGCTTCACTGCCGGCTTAAATACACTCGGAGAAAGCGGATGCAGACAAAGAGTTACACAAACTGAAGAATTTTTTTTTTTCAGTAGACATGAAAATAGAAGGAAGTACAAACAGATGCTGAAAAAAAACGATGCTCATAGTAGAGAGCAGGAAAGTTGCAGATATTACAAGCAAAAACTGTAGTGTGCACAAGGCATTAGCTACACGTGCCATGCACCATCATTGGAAGCCAACAGTTGCCAACATTTGAGGAAATACAGTAGCCATTGGTGGTATTATTTGTCTGTCAGCCCTGTCTTTAACAACTTCCCTAACAGTGTTCTTTCAAAATGGATCATCCAGTTTATATTCAGTATTTATTGCAGTCTTCAATAATATTTTTATATCTTACATTGGTTCACTAGTGTTTTATTTCCCTCCAATTGCAGTCTAAAAATGATGTTTTTCAGGTAAATATGAAGGCTGCTTTTGAAATTACTACTTACTGTGGAATGCTTCACGTTGAGAAGAACTCAATTCAAGTTAGCCCAAATGTCGAGAAAGAGCTAGTACTGAAGATATGCCTGCGAATGTTCAAGCTTTCTCTTGGAGGGAAGTTTTCATGGTGTTAGTCACCATGATAGACAGCACACAAACAATTATGCATTTCTCTCTCAATATGGAAAAGTTCTAAGTCAATTTCTAAGCTTTTCTTTATTTTTAGTGAATTATCAATACTATGAAAAATATTTTAATGACACATGAAGCTCTTCCAAGCTCTACTGTATATTGCTAATCTCTCTGCAATAAAGGATCATCATGGCATGTGGCAGCTCTCTCCAGAAGAAATGAAAACAAAAATCTATGCTTTACTCCATTGAGGTAGACTAGTGTTGCTTGTTGGGCAAGTTGGTGTGTACTTAAACACGAAGAAAGCCTTTACTAAGACATTGGAAAAGGACAAAAGCATCGAGAAGCACCTGTGTGTCTCTCAGGTTTCTTCCTTTTTCCATGTTTTAGTAGAGCCTTTCTTTGAAATCCCCTCTATGACGCGCACTAGGAGTACCATTTCATCTTTCATGAATGCACCTAAATAAAATATTAATAATCTTAGCATCTGTATTCATGCTTATAAGCTACCCTGATCATTCGTTTTTCTTCTAACCACAGAATTACTTGAAGCTAGCTAGCATACTGAATATAGAAGGCTTTTTTTTCTTTTCGCTGCTAAAATAGCGTAATAGTGCATTGTGGTTTTGTTAAGTTTTCTTTTTGTACATTAACATATTATGCTGTGAGCTTTCACTTTTAAATACTTTAGCCATTCATGTTTCAACCCAACCTTGATAAATAATGGGTTCATTTATACATTGGCATTGTATACCTATACTTGGGTACTATCACATGCAAGATGGTTTAAATTTCACTGACACTAAAGGGACATTGTGTAATGACATCATATTGATGCTGTTAGCTAGGAGACAAACCTTTCGTTTAAAAGTTTAATAGACGAGCACTTGGAATGGGACAACTCGCATGGTCGAGAATACCGTGATGCGAAAATATTTACAGCTTGAACCTTTTTTTCATGTATTTGGCAGTGTCATTCCACAAGGTGATCCAAGCAGAAAGCTTGACTAACATGCCTGCAACTCTTTTGACTGTTGGCACTAATGGCTCTTCTTTTCATACTAATATCTGTTGTGCCACTGTGAACTCCATTAATTATAAAATATGTCCTTGCATAGGAAATGTTTTTTTAAACAATGATAAGTCATTTGATATGAAATTTAGTAATTATGTGTATAGGAGCATAAACTAAATAATTTTAGTCAATATAAACAAGTATATTTTTCTCACTGTCTTAACAAAACTTCTTACTTGAATGTTTTTATTCTACGCTGCTTATAATCAGACCTGAGAGAGAGTCTCATACCAACTTTAACTTTTTGATACACACCTTATATTTGACCGGTTTTCAAACTTTTTGCCTTCCATAAATGGAATACACAAAAAAGCTTTTCTTTGCCAAAGAATCGATTATGGGAAGAAGAATGTTTTTCTTCACTTTAGGAGTTCATTATCATCCTGCAGCAATTTCAAAGGATAACTTTTTAACTCTACCATTGATAGGATGATATTGTTAGCATGCAATCCAAATTTTACATAATGGATATTTTTTGCCATAGGTACATTTTTAGCTTTACAGTGCTGCTGTGCCTGTTGTTCACACAGCGCTCTGTTATTATGTGTGAGTGATAACCTGATTGCTTGCTTTCCGACTGTTCAAAGTCTATGGAACATTGCATGAGATTCAGAAAAAAGGAATCGAGGTAACCTACAAATAACTTTTGAAATATATTCATGTCTAGAAGTGCTCAGACTTACAATGACAATGGGCTACTATATTTTAGGTGGTGGTGGCCAGTCTATGAAAGTTCAGGTTGAGCAACCTCGAATTCAAAGAGTTCCAGTGGGATCTACAGTGACAATACGCTGCACTGGATATTCACAATCAAAGGTGAAGTGTCTCCAATGTATTGGATTTTTGTGAATACTTGGTGTGTTTTCTCTTGTAAATAAAAACACTCATGATGGTTACATGACATTGTTAGCATACAATCCAAATTTTACCTGCAGGATGTGTTTTGCTATAGAAACATTTAGCTTTACAGTGGTGCTGTGCTCTTGTGCTGTGCCTGTAGTTCTCACAGTGTTCTATAAATATGTGTGAGTGGCAGCCTGAATACTTGCTTATTATTTAAATATACCCGAATAATTGTTTTCTCAGCATTGTTAGTATCTTAAAAGACTCTGTGTTGTTAAACTTTATTTCAGGCACCATTCTCATTGGTGTGGACCAAAGAATTTGGAAGCCTGCCTTTAAGAGCCACAGAAGCAAGTGGAATATTGACAGTTCCTGATGTTCGTGTTGAAGACAATGGAACATATGTGTGCACTGGTTCAGACGTCTCAAGCGTTGCACAAGACAAGGCCATTCTTCTTGTTGATGGTAATCATGAAGATGCTTCTTTAGAACTAGCTTCATAACTCGAGTGTTACTCCGTAACACTGCACTTAATAAAAGAAACTTTAGCTTTGATAAATTGCAAAGAAAGCCGTGAAAAGTTAGCACGAGCTCACTAGCAGTTACATGCATCCCTTGCACCACCTCTTTTTATTTTATTTTTTACTTTTCATCCCGCCATGGTCGCTATGCTGCTCGAACGCAGGCCGCGGATTCGAATCCCCGTTGCGGCGTTCACATTATTGATAGAGGCGGAAATTCTTGAGGCCCATCGCTTAGATTTAGGTGTACATTAAAGGACTCCAGGGGGTACAAATTTCCGGAGCCTTCCACTACAGCGTCTTTCATAACCATGTGGTGGTCTTGGGACATTGAGCTTTATCGATCCCCAGTATTATAATAGCAGACACAAAGCTTGACATGATAGGTGGCAATCTCTGAAATAGCTAATAATACTGTCAGACAGGAAAGCATAGGGGACATTATTTGGGGTTTCACAACTGTATCATAATGATTCACATTTAAGGGACACTAAAGTCAAATAACAATTTGTCAGAGCAAAAGCTCAATGTATGACAACATCTAGAACGACTAAATTATCAACAACAGTGCCCTACTTACCAAGAAATTGAGGTAAATGCTCAAGAACGCATGCGCCGCAGTAGGGCATTCTCAAAATGATCCCTATGACATCGGACGAACCGCCTACAATTAATCACTAGTAATCAATCTAGCTGCACTAAATAAAGAAACTTCTACGCATCAAGAGGCATAATAAAATGCTGCTTGTTCGTTTCTGTTTGATTCAAGGAAAAAAGAACCGGCAGAAGTTACTATGGGGAATGGCATGAGTGGTTCAAAAATTCAATTTTCGTGTAGTTACACTAAAAAGGTATTGCCATCTAGTGGGGTGCAGTTGAACCAAAAAATGCCTGCAATCTCGGAGCCAATGGCGGGAAATTGATCAATGGGTGTTGTTGCTGCTGTGGCTGCCGCTGCTTTTGGTCTGCTGCTACTAGCACAGTGAAACCGAGCAACGTTGTGCATGGCAACACTGACGCAGGTCGGTCCGGTCGGCCTGCTTCTTGAGGCAAATAATTTGAAGTGCACTAACCTGATATGGACCACTAAAACAATTCAGACTAAAACGTGATTTTATTTCAAAATAGGTCTTTCTTTGGCCCAAAATTAACACTGTGATGTTTCTGGACCACTATTTCAACAATCAACGTTGACTTAATAGTTGCCTTTAGTGTCCCTAATCAGATGCTGGCCTCAAAAAATGTCATGCGGTACTAACACTAACATGACTTTACACAAAAATCAGACTCAAGTCTAAACCATAGTGGGCAGCGCATAAAATGAAAATGCACAAGAAAGGAAAACAAGGACAGCGCCGATCCTGTTCCCTTCTCTTGTGTGTGTTCATTTTGTGGGCTGCCCACTATGGATAAGTACCAACTCGCCCGCCTTTCACTTCTAGTCAAGCCTGAATTTGAGCCAGAGTCTCAGTCACCTATTCTTTGTGATGTTTCACCCTAGTGCCCCGCCAGTGCTTGAAAGTCCTTTGCGAAAAAATTCCTATATCAGTGTCATGTCAGTTGAGTATTGAGGTGAGTGGACGTAATATTTTCAAGTTGAGAGTTTGGCAGATAGCCGCCTGGTTGGGGAAAGACGTGGATAAAGGGAGCACAATGCCAACCAAAGAAGGAAGGAAAATAACTTTATTTTGGTTCTTTGAAACGCGATTGGGTCGTGACAATCAAAGTAAAAACATATTCTTAAAAAGACATTTCTGCTTCCATAGGGGAGCCTTGTCCACAGTTATCTTAAGAATGCAGGTGTTTAGAATGCTATATTAGAATATGTGAAGAATATATTTTTAAGAATATATTAAGAAGTGACTTTTAGAGAATATGTTTTTACTTTGGTAGATGCTGTCTTTCCTTCGCCCATCAGCATAAAATTGTGTGGCAGAAGTATAGGACCTCACCAGGCATCACACCATTTAATAGTGTAATGAGTGAGTGGCTGAAAGCTGCTGCCATTCCTCGTCATCGTCAACAATGTGTGCAGCTACACAGGTGCATGTATTGCCAGTAGACATGTTCACTGAAGTGTCCATACTTTTCAAAAACAAAGATAAAAGTGCTTGTGTGAAGTGTTCAAATTAATGCAAATCAGGAGTGCGTGCGCCAAGTGGCTCATTTCTGTTGAATGAGCATGGCTTTCGCTTTCTTTTGTCGCAAGAGTGTGAAGTATTTTTATTTTTTTCAGGACTTGACCAGAAATCGGCTCCCAGAGCTCGGATCGAACCCCATTTCCAGGAGGTGAACGTTGGGGAACCAGTCGAATTCCGCTGCTTGGCTGATGGCTTCCCCAAGCCAACAGTGGCATGGTCAGGAGGGCGCAATGGCAATCTCAACCCAGAGCACACAATCATTGATGGGGTCTTACGGATACCCGCTGCCCGCAAGTCTGATGAAGCCGAGTACTTCTGCACTGCGAGCAATGAAATGGGAACAGACAACATCAGGACGGTGCTGTTTGTGAAAGGAGGTAAGCAACCACTCTAGTGAAGCACACTTTCTGAAGCAGTTTTCATCACGGCTGTTTTGAAAGCACACTGCTTTCCTATCTTTTGATGGCATAATGAAGAAAGATAAAAAACGAGCTGTCAATATCTTAACTTCATGTCTATTTCAGAAACCACCATTACAACGCACTGTAGTAGAATACATGCCAATAATTGCACGATACAAAGGAAATGCAGACAGGACAATACGCTTGCGTCGAACAGCATACTTGTAAAAATCAGCGTGAACATGTCTTTGTCTCGGTCTTGTTTGTGCTGATTTTTACAAGTGTTCATCATTTCCAACTCATCAACTTTACAGCGATTTGCTTCCTACAGACTATGTTGGAAGCAACAACATCATCTTGTTTTTGCTTCCTTTGTTCCAGTCCTTCTTTGTGCACTGAAAGTGTTGCCATGTATCACTGCCAATCTTTACGTCCTTTCAAGAGCAAAATAATGCATAGGCACTTTTATAAGGGGGCAGTAAGAATTCAGGCCTTAAACCTTGTTGAATTACTGTACTTGTACGAATATAAGGCAACATTTTTTTCCCAAGACCGTGGCCTCAAAGTCTATTTTAACCAAGCTTATATTCGACGTAAACATCAATTATTGCTTCAATGTCAGGAAAGGCATTTTGTTATTTGATTTGCATGAAAATGTAAATAATTTCAAATATTTTCATTACTTAATAGGTCATCGACCACAAAAAAAGAGAAAATGGTCTGACAGCAGTTACCTCCACAAAAACAATGGCCGAGAATTTCACGGGCTTAGATTGGAATTGGAGCATTGGAAAGTCACTAAACGTAAAAAAAAACATCCAGCCGAAATCCAGTATGGTGCAATTCACAAAATGAGTTTCGGCCAATTTTATGTGCCCTTGCTAGAGAACAAATTGTACCTTTGATGGTGCGCGTAGCCTCCCGTGACCTTTGTTCGGCGGGGCATTTGGACTACCTATGAGAACCTTTCCGTCGTCACTCATTATTATGTCAATTCATCATTGTCACTATGATGCAGCATTCAAAAGGAAGGTGATAAACGATGCCGAAGCTTTAGGCAGCTGTGCTCCAGGTCACAAGTATGGCGTCCAAGAAAACAAAGTTAGTCGTGGGAGGAAGGAGAAGGAGGCCCTTCTTGCCTGCGCTGCGACGCGAAAGCTTTTCGAGGACCGCGCAAGGGTGTGTTTTCTGAAGTGGAGGCAAGTTTGACAGAATTTATCAGAGAAACTGGGACCCGTGCCTTGACTGTGAGAATGGAAATGCTTCAGATGAAGGCACAAGAACTCGCAGTATATCGCGGCATCTCTGGGTTGCAGTTCAAGGCTAGTTGAGGCTGGGTGCAAAAATACATGAAGAGAGCTGGCTTTTCACTTAAAATGCGGACTTTTATTGTGCAAAAGCTTCCCTGTGACTATGAGGAAAAGCTGCTGTCTTTTCAACGTTATGCCATCAGACTGCGAAGAGAGAGCAACTTCTGCCTTTATTAGATCGGAAATGCAGACGAGACCCCAATATTTTTTTACATGCCGTCGATGCAAACGGTACACGCCAAACGTGATCGCCAAGTTCATGTACGCACTGCAGGGTGCGAAAAATCGCGAACCACCATCATCAACTCCCATGGCACAGCTTCAAAGCAGGTGTCTTGTTTTTCGTTGCCGGTAGTTGAAACGCCAAACAGGTCGACAGGCGATCAGCTATGGTGGCTAGAAGAAGAGGTGTCAGCATCGGCACGCCGGAGAGAAAGAGAGAATTCCTCCAAATGTGGTGACACTGCTTTCGGCTTCGAGATGCCTCCCTCTATCGCGTGCGCATAGCAGTCGCTTTTTGTTGCCACTATTTCATGATACCATGGAGATTACAACAAATGCTAGTTGGCACTTGTCTAACAGCTCACTGCATAGCATGTATGTGCGCTCAAAACTGATGTTTTGAACTTGCTTTTCTGTATATTAGCTGCGTGTTCCACTATGATACCCCGAGACGCTGAAAGATAGACCTGCCGTGAGCTTGGCAAAACAACGTCCGTGCGGTTTTCACTTTGATGCCGCAGTTTTCTCCGTGACGTCTCAATTTATGTAGAAGCATCAGCAAGCATAGCTGAACGCTTTATTTTGTGTAACTTGCACATCGATAAGGAAAGTGTGTTTGGCAGAAGCTTTAAAAGCACATTTACTTTGACAGTTTCTTACAGTTGAACTGGAAAACATCACATATGCATCTCAATGCACTCAAGCATCTACTCTTGTTAAAGTATCACCCTTCTGTTTTCGATGCTTCAAAGCATTCATTTACCTGCACACTTGCTGCTTTTTTGGCAGGCTTTGTAGCTTTTCCTCGAAACTGGAGTAACGTATGGCTTCTTTGCCCTGTTGCACTTTTCGTGTGGTATTGCTAATTTTCGCAATGGTGTGCTTTTGCAGGTGCAGCTGCGCATTTTTCACATCAACTTCTGTGTTAGGTTAGGTCTTGACTGTATTGCTTGTGTACGCTTATAATACACCTCATTTATCATCAGCCTATGAACCTGCACTGCACATCGGGTTCAATTCCGTGCTGTCCCACAATACGTCAGGCTGTGCCATTTATTTCCATTGAAGGAATGTGTTTTGTTTTTATTTGCACACTTTGTATTCCTAATAGAGCGGTTGACTGGGCTAGTTGGTATGGCATACTTGGGTTTTAGCAGCGCGAGAAAAGCACAAAAGACAAGAAAGGGACGAGACAAGCACTGACTTCCAACTGAAATTTTATTGACGGGAAGACCGTTAATATGCAATGGAGCACAAAGAGTGAAAAAATGACGTATTTTAAGATACAAATTATCAACTAACGCCATGCCTGCTGCGCCTACCCTCGCATCTCAAGAAACATATCTCTTTATCTGAAAGGGCAACTGAAGGCTTGCTTACACATGCGCTGCTTTCAAGCTCCATTTGAGCAGCCTCATAAATTATACGCACGTTTTCCTCTTTAATCTTGCATAGAACTGTTGTTTTTTCAAACAGCGGAGTGCACCCACACGTGCTCACGTGTTGCGCTAAGAAGCCATCTTTTCCGCCACGAACATTATTGGCATGTTCCCGTAAGCGATCGTTAAGGCATCTGCCCGTCTGGCCCACATAACATGCACCGCAAGAAAAAGGGGTCCTGTAAACGACACCTAACGCGCAGTCCACAAACTGCGTCCTGTGCCTCACCATACACCGTTTTCTCATACTCTTTACGGGGCAGGTCCTGTTTGTCAACTGGGACAACTTATCAGGGGCACTGAAGACCACTTTCACATTGAGGCGCTGTCCTATTTTCTTTAGGCGGTGTGACACAGAATGCATGTACGGAATAACCGCTACCTTTTCCCTCTTCTCCGCTGTGGTGCCATCACTGTTGCAAACAGTGCCCAATCGTTTCCTTTTTCTGTGTATTGCCTCCGCCACGGAAATGAGCAAAGTGCGAGGGTACCCTTCTCTTTCAAGGCGCTCCGACTGTGCCAAGAGACTAGCTTCTAAGACGTGGTGACACGACCTCTCTAAAGCATTGTGAAAACATGATTGAACAATGCCTCTCTTTACTAATTTGCTATGCGCAGACGAGAACGGAAGAACAGGCTTCTGCGAGCGAGGCTCGTAACACCAGCACGTGTGGTTCTCCGAAAAAGAAATCTTTAGGTCAAGAAAGCGGATGCTATCCCTTTCCGGCATCTCGTGCGTCACCACGAGTGGATAGAGGCAATCGCGAAAGATTTGCAACACCTGCATGACCTTGGAATGAAAGGTCTCTAAATCACACCTCAAAATTAACAGATAATCATCCACATACCGAAAGGTCTTTACTACAGATAGTTCACCAAGCTTCACATTCAATGCCCTATCAAATTTGGCTAATAGCAAGTCACTTAGAAAAGGAGCTATGGACGATCCTATTGAGACACCTTCTTTCTGTATATATGTTTTTCCGTTCCATTCTACAAACGTTGATGTGATGTACAAAGATAAAAGTTCTAAGAAACCTTTGGACGAAATACCCGTGGTGTTCTGAAATGCAACAGTGATGGCACCACAGCGGAGAAGAGGGAAAAGGTAGCGGTTATTCCGTACATGCATTCTGTGTCACACCGCCTAAAGAAAATAGGACAGCGCCTCAATGTGAAAGTGGTCTTCAGTGCCCCTGATAAGTTGTCCCAGTTGACAAACAGGACCTGCCCCGTAAAGAGTATGAGAAAACGGTGTATGGTGAGGCACAGGACGCAGTTTGTGGACTGCGCGTTAGGTGTCGTTTACAGGACCCCTTTTTCTTGCGGTGCATGTTATGTGGGCCAGACGGGCAGATGCCTTAACGATCGCTTACGGGAACATGCCAATAATGTTCGTGGCGGAAAAGATGGCTTCTTAGCGCAACACGTGAGCACGTGTGGGTGCACTCCGCTGTTTGAAAAAACAACAGTTCTATGCAAGATTAAAGAGGAAAACGTGCGTATAATTTATGAGGCTGCTCAAATGGAGCTTGAAAGCAGCGCATGTGTAAGCAAGCCTTCAGTTGCCCTTTCAGATAAAGAGATATGTTTCTTGAGATGCGAGGGTAGGCGCAGCAGGCATGGCGTTAGTTGATAATTTGTATCTTAAAATACGTCATTTTTTCACTCTTTGTGCTCCATTGCATATTAACGGTCTTCCCGTCAATAAAATTTCAGTTGGAAGTCAGTGCTTGTCTCGTCCCTTTCTTGTCTTTTGTGCTTTTCTCGCGCTGCTAAAACCCAAGTTTGTATTCCTGTTCCTATTTCAAACCCTTTGCAAGAAATTGTGGCATTCATTTCAAACAGGAGGCCCTTATCATTAGTAATACTGTCGACATCCTCTTCTTTTTTTTTTTTTTGCAAGAACAAACACCCTGTACAGTATAGTATCGTGCGGCGAACGCGCCACAGGGAGAACACAAGGCACGACGCTGAAGCGCCGGCAGACAAGAAGTACTCCGCA